AGCACCGGCACGCCCGACGCTGTTCTTGATATGAATCCTCAGGTATGGTTCGTCATGGCCACGGGTTACATCGAGTCATGCCAGTCTCTTCCCTGGTGTCAGAGTTTTGACCCAGTCCCATACGCTTGGACCTGGAGTGGTTGGCGGCGGTATGGGTTCCCGTCATACGAGACGGATCCCGTGCCCAAGGAATCGGGCGAGACAGAGCCCGCGGCCTCGGGGTCTGGCGAGACGGAGCCCACGGCCTCGGGGTCGGGCGAGACGGAGCACGAACCCAAGGGGTCGGGCGAGACAAAAACCGCGTCCTTGGGGTCAGGCGAGACAGAGCACGAACCTAAGGGGTTGGGCGAGACGGAGCCCGCGGCCTTAGGCGAGACCCCCACGACCAAGAGGTCGGGCGAGACGGAAACCGCGTCCTTGGGTCAGGCGAGACGGAGCCCACACCCAAGGGGTCGGGCGAGACCTTTTAATACGTCTTGCTCCATCCGGAGAAGTCAGCGTGGACGCTAACTTCCTTGCTTTGGGTATCCCTACTATTGATACCCGACACCATTCATATTTCTCTGGTTCACATCTATTCACAACAAAGAGTAAGGGCATTTTAGTAATTTTAGTCTGTATTGTAGCCTGTCTCAGCTTTTACAAGCTGTGAATCCAAACAACCTACCAACACAGCTTTTCTAATCTAGCTTTTAAAAGCTAGCTTCCATAATTCTAGTGGAATTCAAACAAGGCCTTAACTTATAGCCAACTTCTATAATCTGGAGCCTCCAGATTCCACAATCAAGTAAGCTGAGAAACCCAGCTTCTTTCAGCTTTTGGATCCAATTTAACCAACCAGCCCCTTGCTTTTTGGCCCATACAGGGCAGGATTGAGGGTATTATGGTAATTTAGCTCAGCTTTTACCATGCATGGATCCAAACAAGTTTCTCAAATAGCTTGCATAATCCAGCTTTTAATAATCTGACTTTTAAAAGCTAGCTTTTACCATCTTTGGGTATCCAAACGCAGTCTACATCAATCGGCTGTTGGATTGCAGATAGCTCCTTAGTCGGCTAATTAATTGCTGACTGGACTTTACATTAGAATTTTTTTGCCTTATACGAAGGAAGCCGGTAATTCATTAGTTGCTAGGTGCTCTGTTGGCCACTAGATAGCCGACATGATACTCTAATTTTGTAAAAGTAACACTTAGATTTGTAATTATTTATAATATTATTTAAAAAAGAAATCCACAGAGAATGTCGTAGCACTTAGGGCCCGTTTGGTAGAGCTCCGGCTCCAGCCAAAATAGCTTCAGTTGTGGCTTCAATGGTAGAGCACCCAGCACCTGTTCTGTGAGTGTCATGTATCAAGGAAAGTCTGGGAAGAGGTGGCGAACTAGATTCAGGTACCGTCCTTGATGCCAGCAAACTGGAACAACAGCTCCACTATGGGCGTGTGGTTCACTGATTTGGTAGCTACTGCCGATCCATCATTGAGACCGGGGTTGCAGTCGTTGGTCACGCTAACGATATGGGAAATCTGGCGCGAGAGGAACAACCTCGTCTTCAGGAAGGTAACTAGGACTGTCCGGCAAATTGTGTACAACATTCAGGATGAAGCGCGGACTTGGAGATTCGCTGGGAATAGGGATTTGGAGATGCTGCTGCCGGCCTCGGCCCCAGCCTAGTCAGTGGATCAGCTAGTTGTGTTTTTAGCTTCATGTAAATCACTGTCTTGTGAATTCAGGGGTGGCGAGGGACTCTGTAGATGAGACCCAAGCAAAATAGGTGCGGCGCATCTCGTGCCACATAGGAAATCTGTAATTTGCTCCTCTTATTTAAATGAAAGCCGGTAACGGATCTCTCGAAAAGACCTGGACAACCAAAAAAAAACTCGACTTGCGGGGGTTATGACGGTCCCCGGGTTTTTCTTACTAAGAAGAAGATCTTCTCACATAGATCGAGAAAACCCTCAAACCCCCGTCCACATCCTGACGCAGCGGTATCCTTGGCCAGTGAGAAGGCGTAGACCTGGACAACCTACCCTGCATCGAAGCTACTTGGAAGCCTAAAGCTTGTTATTCATATGTTCTTTAGGACTACCCACATCGTAGAAACATATCGATGCTCAAGAGAGAGAATATTCAGGCATCGAATTGTCTCATTGTGCAGCACGATGCCGACTTGGAAAATCCAAACCACGGGTAAAGAAAATGCCTCGATGCTGGGTAAATTCCAGAGTCTGTTACTGCACCTTTCATTTCCAAGCAAATAGGTCCCACCCACACATATACCTTGATGCTGAACGTTGTATGTAGCAGAGAGCCTCGGCATCGGCATGAGATGGCACAGGAGTATTTTTTCAGCACCGGAGGACACTGTGGCTAGTCTGACGCTGCTGTTCCTTCCCATACTAGGCAGCAGAGGAACAGCACAAAAAAGGTTCAAATATCTCAAATCCGGATGCATAGTGTTTGGTTGTCCTTCCTAAATTTTAGTTGTTGTCCCATCGAATGTTTGAATACATGCATAGAGTATTAAATATAGACTAATTATAAAACTAATTGCATAGTTTATGATTAATTTGCTAGACGAATCTTTTAAGCCTAATTAGATAATGATTTGACAATGTGGTACTACAGTAACATGTGCTAATGACGGATTAATTAGGTTTAAAAAATTCGTCTCGTAGAATACTGACGGATTATGTAATTTATTTTTTTATTAATATTCGAACACCTCATGCAACATCCTTCCGACACACCTCTTAAATTTTAGTTACTCGATCCTAAACACCGCCTTATTGCCACCAAGTGATCGTCACGACTGTCTGCATGCCGGCAGAGCCATCAGAAAACCTTGAGGTACCAACGGAAACACCCAAGGATTCTGCAGTGGCATTGTTTCTGACGCACTTAACTCAAGCTCGAAGCAGGAAGGACACTGACAGCAGCAGGTCCCTGATGTGAGGTCTCAAGCCTGAGTTCAAGCATATCAGGTTTCCCGTGGAATTCCGCTGCATCTTTCGATCCCATCCTGAATCGATCCTTTTTAGTTGAGACGAGCACATCAGTGCCGAACTACCGATCCAAACTATGGCCCCGTTTAGATAAAAAAAATTTGGATTTTGGCTACTGTAGCACTTTCGTTTGTATTTGGCAATTAGTGTCTAATTATGGACTAATTAGGTTCAAAAGTTTCGTCTCGCGATTTCTTACCCAACTGTGCAATTAGTTTTTTTTTTCATCTATATTTAGTACTCCATACATGTGCCGCAAGATTCGATGTGACGAATACTACGTAAAATTTTTTGAAATCTAAACGGAGCCTATATCTATTAAACAATATCATGACCTGATCACCTGCAGCTGACCAGGCATAATAAATAGTACTCCTAGCAGCAGACTGCGTACGCAGCACATACTAAACAATAGCATCAGATGATCTGGCCGGTGTGCACTGCTGTCTAACCGGCATCTTCAGTCGTCTCCAGCATGATCGGATAATCAGATATAAAAACCATTCTTCACTAGTTTAGAGCAGTCAATCTCGCAGGTCGCAGCCATGCGTCCATGCTTCAGCTCCAGCCACACGAGCTGCAGAATAATCGATCTCTAATGATCTCTGGTACACCTGTGTGCTCGAGAAGTCATCGTCTAGATGGAGAGTCGGTTGGAGTGACGCGAGAACGACCGGGATCTTCCGTGCCGGCGCTTGGATTTCCAACGGATTACGCCACCGGGAGGGAGGCCGGAAACGCGCGCGGATTAACAATTCCGGTGGATAACCAATCATGGTCGGGGGCTCTGATCTCTCAGCTCAGTCAGACGAGGGCATTTGGCTTCCTTTTCTTTTGCAGCAAGTAAGGTAAGCCGTATGCTTCCAAGAGTTGAATTTAGAAAGGATATCCCTGCACTGAAACTCCAACGCGTCGCTGTCCACTTGTAAAACTAGCCTTCAAAGGGGCTGTTTAGTTCCTCCAAATTTCAGAATTTGGTACTATGCAAAAAGAAGATTCCCCATCACATCAAACTTGTGGTATATGCATGGAGTAATAAATGTTGACGAAATCAAAAACTAATTGCACAGTTTGGTTGTACTTTGCGAGACGAACGTTTTGAGTCTAATTAGTCAACGATTGGACAATTATTACCAAATAAAAACAAAACGCAATGTAGCAACAGTGTTGCTACAGTGTTTCAGCGGCGCCAACTCGGCGCAACTAAACGTGGCCTAAGACTGAACATCCCTTGCGTTTAAGTATCCTCCCCGTGCTACAATCCTACCACCGCGCAAAAACAATCTCCCCGTTTTCTTTCTGAAAGTTACTGACTTTATGTATTGATGGCTTAGATTTGAGAAAAATGTGAGCATTTGGTAGCTACTTCATTCAGCCAAAAGTTTAAACTTGATAATAGGTTTAAATACCATCTTATCAGAATATATATATTAGATACTTTTTATTAGCTACTTCATTCAGAGTTGCTCTCAAGCTGTCAGAGAATAATATATATTAGTACCATCTTATCAGAATATATATTACTCAATCCATTCCAAATTGTAAGACGTTTGACTTTTTTGACGCCAAGTTTGACCACTCGTCTTATTCAAAAATTTGTGTAAAATATCACTTCTTTCATCATGGTTTGGTTTATTAATAAAAATTCTTCAAAAATGACTTAAATTTGACTATATTTGCACAAATTTTTTTGAATAAGACGAGTGGTCAAACTTGGGGCCAAAAAAGTCAAACGTCTTACAATTTGTGATGGAGGGAGTATTAGATACAGTTAGATCCTTGGAAATCACTCCATTTGGTCTGATTGTCTCTATCCATTTCAAGTGTCCAAGTCATGCATCTTTGTCTCCCTTTTTAAGCTCACCTTTGCCTCCATTGCCACCTCAAGAGACACCCCGCCTAAAGTGTCGTAACTACTCCTTCCTTCATCTCATCTTCCTGTCTCCCAGCTCTCCCGTGAGGCCGTCAGGCCGTCAGCTTCTGCAGATTTCTGGCCATGGAAGGCCTCATCCCATTCATCTACAGGGCCATCGTGCAGTACAAGAAGGAAGGGCAGGTCTCCGTGGGCGACCTCTTCTTCGACGAGCCCTCGCCAACGTCCTACTTCCATCTCCCGGGCGACTCCGGCCGGTACCAACAGGTGACGACGACGAGCGATCTGTTCTCCCAGACTACGGCCAGCTCTGGTGCGGTCGGCGTGGCACGACGCTCGATCTCCGGCGAGGTTCCCGTCGCACCGCCGGCGTCCAGCGTCCCCACAACCGTGACTCGTTGAAGCCGTGAGGCAAGAAAGAAAAGCAAGCGAAGGCTTGCTCACATGGAACCTGTTGTATGAGGATGATGCTGAGTAACTGTGAATATTAGCCTAAGTTGCGTGTAAGTGTACATAATCCTTCACTTTTTTACGTTATTACTACTGTGGTACTCTATGTAATGCATGGGTGCAGGTCCTCCTAAGGAGAGGCTTTGCACACTGGAGTGAGAACTGTGTGTTGTTTGTTGGAATAATACATCAAGCAAAAGCAAATAACGGAACGCATGAATTTTAGTTTAGAAATCTCCAAACCATAATGCTCTGCTGAGGGCGTCCATCCATGCGTGTCCGTCCGGATGCCCCGTTCCTGTGCAGCATCAGATTCAACAGGCCTGCTCCTCTCGTCCTTCACGGTTTCTAAAAAACAGTGACATTTCCATTCTTCTCCGCCGCACGGATGCGACCGCCGCGGGCGCCCCCACCGCTCCACCCACCCGCCGCTCGCCTTCTCCAGCACGGGGTCCGCACGTCGTGGACAGCGCACCTTCCCGCTACGGCCTTCTCCGGCGCGGCGGCGCCGCACCTGGCCCCATCCCGCACCGCGCCACCATCCACCTCGCCCGTCGCGGCCATGGTGTGCACTGTAGCCGGCCGAAGACACCATGGCATGAAGGGGAGGCCTGCGCTTGTGCCTGCGCCTAGGTGTACGCTGGGTCGTTGCTCTCGACGTCCCTCTGGCCCGAGCTTACTAGCTACCGTAGTTCCCCACCAGGTAGGCCGTGGCCGCCGGTGACAGTCGTGTTTTAAGTGTTTCACTCGTTTCGATCAGACGATGTGTTTTAAGTGTTTCATCCGGATGTTTCAACTGTTTCGTTCAGACGTATATTTCAAGTGTTTCATCTGGATGTTGCATACATTACTATAGCTCTAGCCACATGTTTCAAGTGTTTCATCTGGATGTTGCATATGTTGCTATGCCTATACGCATGTTTCAAGCGCATATTTCAAGTGTTTCATCTGTTTCATAAGTATGCTGCAAATGTTTCAAAAGTAGATCCAGTTGTTGCACGGCGCCGGTGCCTAAAGGACAGCCGCCTGCCGTGCAGCCGCCTGCTGCTACTTCTTGGGTGCCGCCGTGGGTCACCGTGTGAACGCCTAAGGCCGGCAGACCGCCTCGCGCGGTGCTCATCCGTAGTAGGCGGGGTAGGTAACTGGCATCGGTCCCCACGTGCATGGGGCGCATGAAAATAGAGCGAGCTTTCCACGGACGCGGGGACGAAGGAGGCGCGGGAGCTGTGTCCGGATGGGGCGGGCTGGGTTAAAGATGTCCAACGGCCCGGCCTGGCCAGGCACGGCACGGGCCCGTGCCAGGCACGACCCGATGGGGTTCGGGTTGGCACGACACGTCGTGCCTACCGGGCCGTGCCGAGGCGGGCACCGTGCCTGACCTACGGACTAGGCACGGCCTGCTGGGCCGTTTATCGGGCTGGGCCGGCCCGAGAAGCACGGCTAGTCCAGCGTGCCGGACCAGCCCAGGCCCACGATGAAGCGCGAGCAGCCAGAGAGAGGGGCAAGGGGAGGAAGCGCGAGCAGCCGGGGATGCAGTGGCCGTCGGCGACCTTGCCCTTGGGGCCCTTGACACCGGCGAGGAGACGGAGGGGGCGTCGGCGTCCGTGGCGCAGAGGTGGGAGGGAAGGGAGTTAGGAGCGCGGTGCTCCGGATCTCCGCCCGAACGCGCCTGCCGGGTCTCTGCAGCCCGCGGAACCCCCCGCCGTCACGGCCGCCGGAGTGGAGGCGGGGAGGGGGTGTCCGCGTGGGGGCGCGGCATCGGCGCCCGTGCGCGAGGGCCGAGGGGAGGGAGGGGCGTCTGGCGCGGCACCGGCAGCGCGTCCGGGGCCCTGATCTAGGACCGTGCGCGAGGGATGCAGAGGCGGAGCGGAGAAGCGACGGCCACCTGCGGGGGCTCGCTGGCGCCCATGTGCCGCCGTCCCGCCCGCACCGTTCGCCGCCCGGTGCGCTGCGCCATCGCGAGAGAGAGAGGGGAAAGTGAAAGCAGAGACGGAGGAGGGGACTAGCACGCCGCCACGTCAGGAGAGAGGGAGAGGAAGGGACGACGGGGGCGTAGGCGGCGGGAGCAGGAACGGTGGGGGCGAGGGTCGCGGGAGGCTCGGCCGGCGCGCCTCGTGAGAGAGCGAGAGAGGGAGCAGATGGGGGCTAGGGTTTGGGTGTGAGGGAGAGCCGCTGTGCCGCGGCGTGCGCTCTTATATGATGGGGGGAGGCGGGGACGGTGGGCCGCGGGGAGGGGAGGAGGAGTGAGGAGGGGGAGGGGGAAGCCGGGCCGCTACCGGGCCGACCGACGTAGGGCGGGCCGTGCCGTGCCAGCCCACGGGCCTGAGCAGCGGCCCAGGCACGGCCTGCTCCCTCGGGCCGGGCCAGCCCGGGCCCGCACGTCACCGGGCCGTGCCGTGCTCGTGTCGGGCTAAAAAAACGGGCTTTGTGCCGTGCCGTGCCGTCATGTTTCGGGCTGCATGGACATTTATAGTTGGGATGGTCGCGCGTATGCGTGGGCGTCGGGGAGGGAACCATGCAGGCACGCGTGACGGAGGTGACGCAGCAGCTGCTCCCGGACACTAGCCCTTCGGTTTTCGGTATGTGCATGTTATAGGCCTGAGCCGTGTAGGTGCATCGGTTTCAAAAGTTGGTGTCCCTCTTCTCTCTCTCTCACTTAGATGTGTGGGCACTGCCACAATCTGATAAAAGGTGGGTTTGCACAAATTATTGGATTGTGAAATCTAAGCAAACAGATTTGTGGACGAATGATCAAAAACAGTTCTTTATTCCAGTTATTATAGGGGTAATAAAAGCTAGAATCTGCAATTCTTTGTTTCAGTTAGAGATACAAAGCTAGAATCCACAATGCCTCAATTTGTTCACAGGAAAGAAGAAAAAAAATCCATCCCAATTCATCTAAGTGCCCGTTTGGATATAGGTATTGGGCTGGTTTGATTTTATTGAAACCACCTAAAGCTTAATAGGGTGAAAAGCTAGAATCCACAATGCCTCAATTTGTTCACAGGAAAGAAGAAAAAAAATCCATCCCAATTCATCTAAGTGTCCGTTTTGATATAGGTATTGTGGCCTTGGATTTGGCTTTGGCATTTACTATCCTCCAATTCCAGTGTTTGGAAGCTTTACCATTCTTTTCATCAATCTTCACATCTCTATCTTCTCTTATCATCTCTTATCTATCTCTATCTCTATGTCTATATATTTTATTTTTATGGGCAATGCTAAGGTGCACCCTTTACATACAAGGAGGTAATATCTCAAATAAATCTGAGCCATTGATTTTTCAAATTTTTACTTGATAAATTAAAAAAATCTAGGAAAACAAAAATAAAACCTCTGGATTCCTCTAATAACTGGAGAAAGAAAATCATTCTTGCTCCGTGAAAACATCCGCTCAGATTCCCCTAATCACAGGAAAAACATCTAACATGTATGGACACGCTGTACCGCGAACGGAACATGAGTCCATACATCCCTACTTGCCAAACTTGCCATCACCGTTTAATGATAGCAACGCAAGCGCGTCCATCATTTGCCTCTCTTGGGCCTCATTTGGCTCAGCCCAAACCCCGGCCCACCATAACTATGCCTTGAGAACACTTAAAACCCTCGACTCGTCTCTCTCCTGATTTTTTTTTTTTTAACATTTTTTGAAACTATTTTCAAATATGATATTGTTTTTTTTAAAACTAACACTTTTGGCCGCTTCTATTCGCATGGCGCGGCGAAATCACGTTGACGCGCCGTGCATAGGGGCGCGGTAGGAGCGATGACGTGGCAGCGACCAGGACCGCTGAACGCTGACGTGGCCGGGACTGCCACGCCGCGGATCTAGACGTGGCACTGACGCGCCATGGAGAATGGCGCAACAATGGTGATTTCGCATCATTTTGTACCGCACACCCCACACAGCTCTCGCTCGCCAGGCCGCGCGCGCTGCATGCATGATGCACGACGCACACGCATGAAGCCTGCGCGGGCGCGCAGCTCTCGCCGGCCGGATCCACGCGCGCGTTAGGCCGTTATTAGCTTTACTGATTTTCTTTTTGTTTCTACTCTGAGGAGGGAAAAAAAGGTACGTAGTCATAGCGTGTATATACGTACGCAGGCACACCGTTACGGCCGTCTTTTCAAATGAGCGGCGGCTAGCTAGCTACGGTGTCCATGTACAGTTGCACACCACTCCATATCCTTCCCGTCGGTTGCAACTGTTCTTCTGAAGTTTCACTCACTCGATCGACTGTTTACTGATATGTGATATGAGTATGCTTTTAAAAAAACTGCTACGAAAGGGGGTGTTACCATTATTACCAGTTTTGTTCGCTTAGCTTTTGGGTCAACGAGAAAGTTTTTGGATGAACCCATGAATTGTTTGATGAAAGGACATGTTCGTATGATCAGCTAGGACTAGCTTAGCCCATTTATAACTAGCGATTTGGCTACCAACCCATTGAAGTTTTGGCTAAAAAGTTAGGGTACACCCTTCACTTTCCAAGGTTAGAACAATTTTGCCATGAAGAAAGTTCGATTTAGACAACCTAACAGTTATTTTTGTTCGATGAAGGTGATTAAGAAACACCCTTAGTTATCAAACCGGTGATTAAATTAGCTGTTTGTCGAAACTGTAATTAGGAGAATTTCAAAAGCACTTTTCTATCACAACCAGACAAAGAAATTTTATAATTATTTTTTTTGAATGTTGTGAACATGCTCCTCAAATATTAAAATGCTCCCTCAGTAAAAAAAAACAAATTTGTAGATCTCATTGAGAGTTACAACTTTGACTAAATTTATAAAAATATCTTCATTTGACTTCATACAAAAAAAATATATTATTTATTCTAATTTTCATAATAAATTTATTTGATGCTGAAATTTAATATTATTTTTTGAGCAACTTAACGTTTCCTCAAATTGAAAAGCTTAATTATAGAAAGTTGTGAAGATATAATAGAGATCAAACAATTTTACCATATATAAAATCATTTTCATTCGAACATATGTCATATTAGTTCCTTTTTTATATAAAGACGAAGAGTTTTTCTAAAGTGATGAAGTTGTTTTCATCAAATTGAGAAGATGATTTTATAGCTGGTATAAAATGAACTAACCACGTTGACGCTTAGGATAACCCAGCTAGCTGCTGCTTTCCATATCCATGTGATAGGTTAGAACTAATTTAGCAGCCGCATCAGAAGAATTAGCTGTTGGTACGTTGAAGGCCCATCGTCTCCTCTCCACAACTAGTTATTTTACGATGTTGCCTTTTGGATTGAGGTGATTAGATTTAATCACATTTTTTAGTTATCAAATGTACGGTGATTAAATTAGCTGTTTGCTCAAGCAAACTGTAATTGGAGAATTTCAAGCTGCAGCGTTCACCGTTGAAAATACTAGTCACAACCAGACAAAGTGAAAAATAGCTAGTAATCCAAAATCTTTGAATGTTGTGAACCATGCTTCACTTATATATATATTACTATTGCATGATCCCTCAAAAGTGTTAGTTAAAAAAAAAAAAACAAATGTCATATTTGAAAATAGTTTCGAGGAGTCAAAAATAATTTAAACTTTGACTAAATTTATATAAAAAGGTATTAACATTCATGATACAAAATAAGTATCATTGAAATAGTTATAGAGGTACGCATCGTTGGATAATAAATTTGTTTTGTACACATAAATGCGAAAGTACTATTTGGATATAATCCACTTGATCTCCTGTTGGCGTCTAGTGTCTCTTCCTGAGCTCGTAACTAAGGATCCTATAATTCCTGTTTTTTTGGACCAGACATTATGTTGTCTGTATTTATAACTCAGTGGTCCTATTTTGGATTATTTGAGATATTTGCACCATATATAGGTGTTTTGTGCTCAAAAGCACTTGTTTGGGGAACATATATACAATCCAAGAGTTTATTCGGTTTTTTAAGATAAAGACGACAGAGTTTATTCCTAAAGTGATGATTTGGTTCTTCATCAATTTAAACTCCATTCGATCATTGTATAGCTGGTGGGAATGCATAGCAATTTCCAACCACGTTGTTGCTTAATTTTGCTAGTTTGATCACCAGCTGAGCGGTGCTGCTTGCCCTTAGGGGTTCGTACCATATCCATGCTTTCGGTCCCTATTCAAATAAAGCTTTGTTTTGGCTCAACTGATATTCTCAATTTATTTGCAGAGGAGTTTTAGGAAACACACTGTTAGACTGACTCAATTGGACGCAGTAAAACTGATGAAGTGTTTTTTTAGCTGAATCTGAACTTCGGAGTGTCAAATATTCTATTCGTCGGTTCCACATGTGGACTGATTAGCCAACACCATTCTTTTTTACTTTTCCTTAGCACCTTTTTTCATTAAGAGGGTAGAAAACATTAAAACAAATACAAAACTCATTGGAAGCCTAAGCTTACAGATGAGGATTTAGTTCTCGTAGGTGTTAATTACACAAACACTTTGTGACCAAACAGAGAAGCACATGGCCCAAATACAATACTCATTGCAAAACAATACGCGACTGTAGCTGCCTGAAACTTGCTAGAATCCACTCTTCAGCCTCTTCCAGAATCAGGTCCACTTTTTTGATCAGAGTCGACTAGAAGCTACTGAACGTGCGATCATTACATTTTTTTCAAGATGTGCCAGGACACCAAAAGCACAAGTGTATCAAAATCACGACGAGAGAGCTTCGGAACCAACTTCCTAGATCCAAGCCACCAATCAAACATCTTGTCGAATAAGGGATTAACTCCTCCAAGCCTAGGCAAAGTAGCAGACAGGACCAAACTTCCCGACTGAGAACATAATCCATCAGCTGGTGATCCAGTCTCTGAAACCTGATCGCACAAGGCGCAGGAGTCTGAATCCTGCAAATTGTGCCGCCACCTCCTATTTGCTGTCCAGTGCTGACTATGGAGAGCTAGCCGAAAGAAATATTTCACTTTCTGTGGAGGACAGACCTTCCAGAGCTCCTTCGTGCCTGCCATACGGATTGAGCCAACTAACATCGCTCTGTAAGCCGATGAAACTGAATACTGCTTGTTTGCTGACCACCACCAGATCAACCGATCATGGACGCGACTCCGAAGCACTACCTGATCCAGCCTCTCCCAAATCATGACATAGTCCAGTAGCACCTGCACAGTCAGCGCCCCACGAATGTCCTTTACCCATGCACAGTTGTCGAGCGCATCCCTGACTGAACGACACTGATGTCGAGCTGGAACCAAGAAGAACACTTCCCATCAACCACTTGGACCTCCATTGCAGCAAAGAACAAGGCTTGGACTGCTTTCTCTGGTTTATTCGGAAGACCAACCCAGCATCTTGGTGGATCAGACCACGGATACCACTCCCAGCACAGGCGCAGAGCCATACCAAAGCGATGCAAATCGGTGATCCCTAACCCTTCAAGTTCTTTAGGCCTGCAAACGACCTCCTGCATTACCTTGCACTTGCCACCCGGCACTGATTCAGCACCAGCCCACAGAAAATCTCTCCGCCGGCCATCAATAGCTTCGATTGCCCAAGCAGAAAGACAAACTGCAATGGGGACATGCACTGGCATGGCCAACAGCGTGGCCTGGATCAACATGGCTTTCCCAGCCAAGTTCAAAAGTCCACCCTTCCATTCCGGAATAAGATCCACATGGTCCAGGTATTTTGTTTTGCGTTCTGTTCTTTGTACTTAGTTGTGTCACTGCAAATTGGATATGCTTTTCTTGTTTTTGCTTGTGTAGAAAAAAGTAGCTTGCTTGTAGTAATATGGAGGAAGGAGGATGGGATGTTTAATAATTCCTCTCCAGCAGTGAGACACTAGTGAACCTGTCTAGATAATTATCCTTAGCGCAGACCCTATGATTTCAATGTAGTAGCAATATGATTGTGTCAAGTCCCTGGTCTGGTGGACGTGAGGAAGCCAAATGTTTAGTTTGGATGTCAATTCCTTGTGGATGCCTTTCAATTCTGGCTATGGGTAGAACCATGTCTTTCGATAGCTATTTTTGCTGTTATAATAGTTCTCGCATTACATAGTCTAGGTGCAACTATTCACTGGCAAAGCAAGCTATACTTCTACTGTCTCTATAGAAAGCCATGTGTTATGAGTGTGTTCCACATAGGGGGAACAAGGTTATCTAATCTCCAGTATGCTCATTGCAACATCCTATGTTAGTGATTACTGTTGTGTCCTTGGCAAAAAGAAATGATGAGTTGATGACAGTGTCAGTGTGTTGTTTCACACATTATGCTACCAATAAAGTTGTATTGTCTCTTACCTAATTTGCACATCCAGTGCATAGTCAGTGTGTGGACTACTGAAACATTATGATTGCAAGACTTGTGGCCTGTGGGTCGGTGTTATTCGATTTGACATTTAATTTGCATGCTGGGTTTTCTTTTCACCCCTTCCATCTGCCACAAATTATTTTTTGTTTTTACCTTTGTGAAATGTTTTTTTTTAAATAGTACAGCAGGGGAAGCCCCCACTGTAAGTTTTATATTAATAAAATAAAAGAAGCTGTACAAGCACACAAAACTGTGCAAGCAAACAACGAACAGCAGAAACTAGAAGCCTAAGAGAGGCAAGGAAACTAGGCTAGGGAATCTATACAGGATAAGAAAGCAGACGCTTAGCATCACAGATCCTGAAGTCGAGCTTCCTCACTAAAGCTGAACTTCCAAGAATCTAAGGAAGGACGACCCCTTTGCGAAATGTTATCTGTTAGTCTTAACGTGTTAGTAGACCTCTATTTGATGGTTTACTAGTTGTTGTTTCTTATATATACTCAATTATTATTTTATTCCAAAGCTGCTAGTGTAATCCTTTGGGGTTTGTAACACATGGCAGCCTTACAAGTCTGTTTTTCCACAACTGGTGATGTCCAATTTTATTGCCATGAGCAATGAAATTACATGGTTTGGGTACTTTGAGTTTTGAAGAGTCTTGCTACAAGCAATACAAAGAGTTCTAATCGGCTAACCCAGACACATAACCAAACCGATATTCACTACTAGCAACCTTCTATTCTTACAGCTACTAAACAACAGACAATAAGACATAGAATAGTACCATGGTCCACTCCACCACCTAGATGCAAAAACAGCAACATTTTGCACTTCTTAGTGCCCACTAGCATCTTTTCGCTGCCTCCATCATCGCAATGAGACCGCTACATCTTAAGTTATTATCTCCATCCTGCTGCCTTGATTATGCTGCTCGAGTGGAAGCTTAGCACTGCTTCCTTCCGAATAAGAAGAAACAAACAAGCAAGCAAACACGTGATCTCAGCATAAGATCTAACCAACTTCTTTTGAAAACAAAATAAACATATTATTTCACTAGTAAGAAATGATTATCTTTGATTTTGGGCATCTCTAAAGCTGCAACTGGATTAAGATGCTGCTCTTTAGTCCCGGTTAGTGTTACTAAAGCTAAAGCACTGGTTGCATTTCCTTCCGAATATATGCTCCGGAAGGGTTCCAGCGCCGGATTAAAGGTCTCTCACCCGGGAGTACCCCATGTGTCAATTCAATAGAGAGTGTCCAGGAGACAACAAACTGAATTGGTAAAGCAAGCATGAGGAAAGACGTTGATCTCAGCATAAGAGGTCTTACAATTTCGTTTATTTTTCTCCCGAGGAACTTTAACTTTTGAAAACAAAATAAACGGGATTATTCAAGCGGGACTATAACCCATTGCTACTAGTGCCATAAGCCCAATAAATAGCAGCCAGTCCAACCATGGGAAATTGCTTCCCATTTGGGAGAAATTTCTTGCATCAAACCCAAAAATGATAAAAAGAATCTGGTCTACAAGATGCTCCTACACCATAGTTAAACTACATGCATACTTCGCCATCGAACAGCCCAAAGTTAAATGTTGAATATTTTCATTCTCTTCACAAGTCTGCTGGTGCACATCTCTGCAGGTTCGCCGAGGATGGTGAGAGTTAGCGTCTTGAACGATGCTCTCAAGAGCATGTATAATGCTGAGAAGCGTGGGAAGAGGCAAGTGATGATCAGGCCATCTTCAAAGGTGATCATAAAGTTCCTTTTGGTGATGCAGAAGCATGGTTAGTTCTCTTTATTTACATTTTGTTTGAAACTTGTTGAAAACAAGGAAATGGTTCTCATGACTGCTGTCCTTTTCTGCAGGGTATATGGGTGAGTTTTGAGTATGTTGATGACCATCGTGCTGGAAAGATTGTTGTTGAGTTGAACGGCAGGCTGAACAAGTCCGGAGTAATCAGTCCTTGTTTTGATGTTGGTGTCAAGGAAATTGAAGGGTGGACTGCTAGGCTCCTTCCATCTCGTCAGGTCCGTTCCTTCGCCATACGTGCTTTGCTTGTTTCTAACTATAGATCTGACGCTGGGTATCTGTACAAGCAGTTCAAATTTTACATTGTAATAATGTAATTATCTTTCACTGTTTGTTGTGCAGTTCGGTTTTATTGTCTTGACGACCTCTGCTGGCATCATGGATCATGAAGAGGCCAGGAGGAAGAACGTTGATGGCAAGGTGCTAGGGTTTTTCTACTAGATGGAAGTTTGATAAAAAGGATTTTGAATCAGCGTAGTAGGATGTTTGTCCTTGACTTATATTCCTGAAGTTTTGAACGAGCGAGACTGCACAAGTGCAATTTACTTTGTATTATTCTTACCGAAATCCAAATTTTGGAAGAAGGATAAGTGTCCTTTTGCTTTTCTTTATTGTGCCCTCCGTTTGTTTAGCAAAAGCTTTCGACCTTTGTACCACGAAAGTTTGAGATTTTGGTAAGAAGTAAAATTCGTTGGTGCAGTACAATGTCGATATTTTTGACAATTCATGATTGCAAGGTGAACACGTTTGCTTCATTCCTAAGATTGCCAAGGGTTGTCACACTTGGCGCCTAACTTTTGCCACACTTTTTCTTGCCTAAATCGTCTAACTTGTGGCAGAGAGAAAAAGATAGCCACAACTTGGCTTGCAAGGATGTGTTGCCAAGACATGATGGGCACATGGCTTGTGGGATCAATCCATACCTAGGCGAAAAGTTTGCCACGCCTAACTTGAGACATGAAACCAGATGCTAACCTGACCTAGTAAAACCTAAGTGACTGCTTGTCCGGAGTCCTGGTGCTGTCTGGACCCCAACAATTATATGCTTCTCCACGAATGTTTTGGACCTGTGGATCTGTGCCTGATGGATTATGCGCCGTTCTCCTAGATGCTAAGCTACTGTGGCTGCTCCTAGATGCTAAGCTACTGTGGTTGTCATTCCTGTTCTGCTCAAGGTTGCAACTGCTCTACATTACTTCGATGCTGTCTTCTCTTTTGTATCCGGCAAGAAACCCGCCATCTTGTAAACGCGTCAGGGATGCAGACACATCATTCAGATGTGTTGCTAATTAGTCTAAAACAACTGCCTTGATGTGAAATTGGCCAACTTGTTTCGTTTTGTCGACAGCATGTAACCATTACATAGTTGAGCTCGAGTAAAAAATGCATCACACAAGATAAATGCCATCTCTGTCAGAAACTAAAAATCCAAGGTCTTGTTTCAGATTGTTTACATAGAACTGCTTGATTGCAGTGTGCGAGGTCACCTTGCATCAAAGATAGCGAAAGGCAATTAACTCAGCAGATATGAAGGAAAAGTATCTGTTCAGTGAATTTCTTCCTTCTTCCATTAGTAACTGTTCCCTCCAAGGACTTTACATGATCCCAACATTTCCAATTTTTGGGCTACGAGGTCTGCTAAATATGTGATATGGTTGTAAAAGCTACGAGGAGAGAACAGCAAAGTAGGCACTATAAACATCGCTACCACCAAATTTTACACAAAGTCAGAACGCAGCCAGCAGCCAAAACATGATCAAGGCTGATGTAGCACTGAATGCCCAAGACACGAAGGCAAACGCTGTGGCGAGCTCATATTTTCCGCAAGGGAGATGGGTATACCTTCTGCAGAAGAACACGTCCTTTTCAAATAGAATAACTACACCAGCAGATGAGCTTGCTGCGGCGAATGACAGAATTGCTGTTACCTACACTCAGTAGATTGGTTTTCATTAGTGCTGCTGAAAGCATTGACGTGATTAGATGAGTGTCGCCCAAATGAATACAAGGCTAGACTCGTACAATTTGATAAATAACAAATCCACACCAGACTGCATGTTTTTTTTTTCTCGAACGTGCCGTGTAGCACGTATTTCATTAAGAGGAAGTAGACAACACCGAACCAAACAACCAACAACAAAGGACTTGCCGGTAATCCGAGAATTACCAATGCAATCCCACAAACACAAACGATACAACAAGAAAACACGGGGTGGGGGCCCTCCACCAACAAACCCCTTACATACTGAGCCTATCAGAGGAAGACAAAAACACATTGGTAGCCTAAGGTGTAGTGTAGTCGCGATAGTCAGCATCCACCAAGGAAGCCAAGGGAGCCGGCACGACAACAGCGGCAAAGCATCCGCACGATAAACGACCACGGCGGCCAAACATCCGCCGGAAAAGGACCATTACGGCAAAGCATCCGTAATGATGGCCATCACACGCTCTGCAGCTAACTGAGCGTGGAGACCTAAGCGACGAGATGGCCAAGCATCCACCAAGCAGCAACAGCATCAACAACAAACACCGAAGGACAAACCAATGCGAGGAAATAGACGAAGCACAGATAGGCACAGCAGAGCAGGCAGCAACACCGACGATCGACGCGCGGTTAAGAGAGTTGTGGCACCTAGAGTTCACCAAACGAAGCCTTCAAGAAGGGGATGACATCCGCGGATGCCAACAACGTTCGCCTCCCCAAATGACCCGAACGGTGCAGACAGGCTTCAACGACGCCTTCAGGAAGGAAAATGACGCAGACTGCGCCACTGCCGCTGGCCCGGAGCAAGAAGCCGGGCAGGGTAGACACCCAAGCACGTTAGTCGACACCGTGGGTCGGGGGAGGGGGCCCACTGTGCCAAGGTGGTTCCTGGCCGACGAGCAGCGAACTCCGGCTGTCGCCCAGGGGACCACGCCGACGGCGTGCCCAAGTGGACTCCCAGATGCGCAAGGAGGCATGTCCACGACGGCCACAAGGACGCCAGACGGCTGCCCCGACGCCAAATCCGGACCACAAGGTCCCGGAAGGGGCCTCCGTCTCGTCCGCCCCTTGCTGCTCCACTAGCACCGCAACCCTCACCGGATCCGCAGCAGACCTCATGAGACCCCGGTCAGCCGCGGACGGGTCGGCCAGCGCCAGCCGACCGCGCCCGTAAGCGACGTAGCTGAGCACGGCAACGGAGACACGCGCGGCGACCAGCACCACGCAGCTAAGTGCCAGTCCCCGCCGGCCGCGCGGGCAGCGGCGCCGCCGACGCAGACACCCGCCGTAGCACCCCGCGTCTCGTCGAGTCGGACGCCCGTGGAGCCGAGGCGCAAGGAGAGGTGGCCCACAGCCCTAGCGCCACCAGCGCACCGAGATGGCCGCCATGCCGCCAACCCCACCAGGGAGCGCCTGGCCGTGCCCAGATCTGCCGCCACAGGGCAAGCCCAACCGGCCGCCACGTGGCCAGGCAGCAGTGCCGTAGCCGCTGTCCGGCACGTCCACGACACCTGCAGACATCGACGAGCGCACGCGGCCGCAGGAGGGCCACCGCCGAGCGCACGCCACGGCCGTCCAGATCCGGCCGCTGCCGCCCCGGGCGCAAAACCAGGCCCCGCCGGGGTCCCAGGCGGTGGATCCGGCCAAAGGGGGCCCGGATCTGCGCGGTCGGCCTCCCCGGCGCCCGGATCTGGCCGGAGTTGAAGGGGAAGATGAGGGGGGTGGAGGAGAGAGCGGGGGAGGGGTAGGCGGAGCAGCGAACGGGTACCTCCTTTGCTGGCCTCCGCCGCCGCCGCCGCCGGGCGCGGGCGCGGCCGGAGGGAAGGATGGGGGTGGGGTTCGGCGCGCCGAGATGGGGATCACCCCGAGTCACCCGTTGGGAGCGCTGGGGGGGGGGATAGGGGCAATTTGTTGAACTACCTAGAAACCTACCTCATGTCGCTGGACTCTTTTTGGATGGAGACATCGTAGTCTGCGAGCGTCCGCCCCCAGACTGCATGTAATACACAGATCTGATCTTTCCTCTTAGTATGACCCCAAGCTGGCATCACAATGCATCATCCATCAAATAGGGAGAGCATGAATAATGAACATCATGTACAGAAAACCAAACTTTGCCGATTTAAAACAAACATGAATTGTACAAATGTGAAACTATCAACTCTTCTTAAAGGGGAAAAACAGAATGTACTGGATCATTTAAGTATCACAGATTTAGAATGTGCAGAGCACTTATGTTGAAAATTAGACATTATTATTACTCTCTCCATCACAAACAAGTAATAGTTTGCAAATTGATACTCTATAAAACACAACTTTGATGACCAAAATCTATTCTGATATAAATGGAACTTCAGCATTTTGAACAAATCTACAAATATTCGTGTTCCTATTCACAAATAAATTGATAGCCAAATAGTTCACGAGCTTTTACATCGAGAATCCTAAAACATTTAAAACAAAACAAAAACTTCTAGAGTAGCATAACAAAATTTGTGGATAAAGCTCCACATTTCCAGAGATATAGAAAAAGAACTGCAAAAATATCAATCAGTATGGAATATTCATATGGACAACTTCAGTGCTTCTATAAAGTAGTATACCAATATACTGGATGTTAAGGGTTTATAAAAGCATATAGGTAAAAGCACATTAGATGACAAGAGTTCCAAAATGAGTTTAGTCATTACCCAGTCTCCAACGACAAACAAGCTCAATAGAATGGGGCTGGTGAGATCCTTGTTGGCTGTAATGGCGTATCCATCAAGACACGCAAGTCCAAAACTCCACAGCATTTGAAGTCCCATTGATGCAATCAAGTAGCTGAAATGTGAAAGACAATATGAGGTTTTTGCAAATTTGAAAGGAGAAAGTTTACGAGCTGTACCAATCTGAGTTAACAGCTTACTAAACATCAGCAGATAAGCAATCACAGCAACAAGGATCCATTAGATACTGGAATGACTACAAATGCACCACGTGTTTCAAGCTACCACCACCATATCGAACAAAATGGATTCTTTGAATACGCCTCCAGTGTCACCATGCTAATATGCTTTTCGGACTATCTGTACAATTGGACGGCAATCATATACTTCTCAAAAATTTTGTCTCGGATGCTGCAACTAACCCTCCGAACTAAATGCACTTGACAAAACGCAACCTAGAAATTAAGAAGCAGTTTGTTAGTCGTCCCTCCCTCACTCCACAATTCCCCCATAAAATGAACCCAATTACGACTGAATTGATCCAGAAAAAAATAATGAGGATTGATGAATCGTCAGAGAATAATCCGAGGCAAAATGGGGATTTAGGGATGCTCCCCGCCAAATGGATAGATTCACGAGAAACCCCAATCAACAGAAGACCACGGTAGGCTAGAAGAAGAAACCCCCAAAAGACAAGGTCAACCGGGACGCGGTTTGTGGTTTTCATGTAGCTTACAGAAGGCGGTGTAGCTGGTGAATCCGAGCGAGCTGCCCATGAGGCCGATGCAGGCGGCGGCGAAGAACGTCTGCCCCACCCGCAGCACCAGGCCGCCCCAAGAACCAGGCCTCCCCAGCAGCCCGGCCATCGCCTCCTACCCTCGACCCACCGTCCTCTCGCCCCCGCCGATCACTCCCGCCGCAGGTCAGCGGCCACGGCGATCGACCATGCACGCTCCAATCCTGTGGGTCAGGAGTTGGGCGGATCACTGCGGGTTTTACGCAAGAATTGGGGTCTCGAGGAGGCGGCGAAGGGGATTTTAACAGTAATTGACAAGTACTCCTCCCGAATAGGAACAGCAGTGGCAAGAATTTGGAGACTTTTACCCATATGCCATTAAGAAAGTTTGTAACTACACCGAAGCCATTAAAAAAGGTGATAGTATACAGGTGCCACTGCTCTAATTTTTTTGGTTTTATGAGCCATTTCGTCCTTGTTCCGTTTGTTTTTCGCCGATTGGTAGCCCTTACAGGTGGGATCCGTCAGTGAAATTGTTCATGTTGCCCTGGACGGTGGAGATCGTGTTGACTACGATTCACCGCCACCTTAGTTTTCTTGTCTCTCGATCTCTTCTGCTCCTCTCTTCTCCCGGGAAGGAACCCCGGCCGCTACCGAGAGCACACCAATCCCCTCTAATTTGCACCGCCAGCCGCGCAATCTCAGATCCCAGCCGTCCGCACCTCGCCACGGCCTTCCTCCACACCACGAATGGTGGCCTCTGCCTATTGTCTTCTTCCAAGGACCTAACCGAACCCAAGGCGGTAGGTGCCAGCTAAAGTCTGAAGGGGACCACCGGGACCGGGCGCGCAATGGCGACCACCGCATGAGGAGAGGTGTCACCGCCGCGCTGCCCCTCGCCACACTCATCGACCGCGAGCTCGCGCTGGGGCTCCGGAAAGTGCCGCCCCCACACTACGGCCACGCGCCGGCTTCACCAAGCTCGGCGAGAACAACTTCCTCGTCAAGCCCGGCGCCTCCGCGGCCCCCGGGGACCCCACATCGGCGTTCTCCGTCTTCACGGTGCGTACATCGCCGCGCCACCCCTCCCTCCTCTCCTCCGCTGCCGCCGGTGTTCGACAGCCAGCACTGGCGGCGTGTCGGCGGCGGTTCACAACAAGGAGCATCCGCCGAGCACGTCATGAGCGGCTGCCGCCGGACATCGGCGGGCGACGACCGGCTTCAGCGCGCCTGCCACGCGCTTCGTCGCTAGCTTTGTCAAAGGCGACCCGGCGTCCTCGCCCCATGCTCCGGCCCGGCACCGCCCCGCACCCTCGCGGTGGCGGCGCGACGACGCGAGGAGGGTGTGGTGGTCGTCGCCGCCGCCGCCATGGAGGAGGAGAGAGAGAGAAGGCGAAGCGGAGCGAGGACGAAAGCAATGGTGGTGGTCGGGGCGCCAAGCCACCGCGGCGGGGTGGAAGTGGTGAGGCGGGCCTTGGGGCGCGCTGGGCCTTCTTGTCGTCGGGCCCGGGTCCTCGACAACCATGACACTGAAACAAGTAGTTGGCACTGTGGCGGTAACGCAGCAATGACGGGACGCGTTCGCACACCTTGCTGCTTGGCCCCCGCCCCGCCGCCCGCCGCTGCGGGGCCGTCCATCCTCGCTTGCGCCGCCGCTCCCGGCCCGACGCCGCCCATCCCTCTCCTCAATCTCTGGCGGATCTCCCCTAGAGCAGGCGTCGCGCAAGCGGGGCAGGCATGCAGAGGATGGATGACCACCATCGCCCAAGGGCAACATGGATAATTTCACTAGCCGGCAGCGGCGGATTCAGAAAATTTTTTAGGGAGGACTGAACAACACGTACCTTCGACTACGGTTAGATCTTAAGTCTCAGCCCCACCTACACTATAGAACTTTGCCTAAAAATTTATGGGGGCTCCAGAGGGGTTCCACTGCTCCGGTATAGGTAGGGGGGGCTCGAGCCCCCCGCCCCACCATTGGATCCACCCCTGCTAGCCGATCCCACCTGTAAGGGCTACCAAACGGCGAAAAACAAATAGATCAAGGACGAATGGCTTATAATGTAAAGAAGTTTAGTAGCAGTGACACCTGTATGCGGTCATTTTTTTAATGACTTTTATATAATTACAAACTTTCTTAATGATATACAGATAAAAGCCTCAAGAATTTAGGTCTCGAGGAGGCTGCGAAGGGGTTTTTAACAGTACTCCTACCAACAGCAGCAGAGGGGAGGCCAGGAGGGTGGAAAAGCGGCGAGATGGTGGAGGGGACGGGGATTTCGGGTGGAGGCTCCTCCAGCCCTTGCCAGGTGTCACGGCGGCGGAGGTTGGTGCGACTCTGACGCGCGCGCGGCCACGCGGCGGGGCCCGGCTGGGGGTACTGGATGGATCCCAGAGTCCCAGAATCCCAGACGCCGACGCTGGAAAGCGCCGCCGGGTTGCGTGTGGTGGCGGCTTCCGCGTGCGCGCGCGCCTGGAGTGACCGGAGGGCGCCGTTTCCCGGTTAAAGAGCGTAGGAAAGCGAAAGCGAGGCATTGCCTTTCTGCAGAGGTGGACGACGTCGACGGGGCCGATAGCATTTGCCCTTTGGGGCAGGGATTCACGGATTGGGAAAAATTTCTCGTGCAGACGGCAGGCCTCGGTTCCAAAGGAACGTGCAGGTGCAGGCCTGGTAGAGCGATAGCTTGATCGTACAACCCCGTTTTGTGTCAGCCTAGGGGGGTTGGAGTGGGTGGCTCGTCACGTGACCGGAGTGCCAGGCCGCGCTTTTTGCTCCAGACTGTCCATAAAGCGGACCGTCGACAATGGACTTGCCAGCAAAGGCCGGAAAGCGAGGCATGGCTGCCTACATTCTGGCTTTCTGCAGATGAATGCGTCGCGCGATGGAGCCGGTTTATCAGCCGCAGACCATCGGCCGAACAGCTCCTTCTACTGAGAACGCACAGAACATGCATGAATGCGATCGATGGACTTGGCGTCTTTCATAGAGGAAGCCGTGCTCATTTGCCTCTAGGTAGGCCTGCTAATGGGTCGGGGCGCAACGGGTATTATGGGTTGGGTTTTAAAATGGGGTCTGTGTGGATGGGTGAGAATGGGTAGTAGTAGTAGCTCACGGGTCGGGGTGGGTTGGGTATACAGGAGAAACGGGTTGGGGCGGGTTATAGCAGTAATCGGTGTGCGTTAGCAGTAATGCCGCCCTCCTCTCATATGGCTACTATTCACGCAAACCGTCAGTATTTTTTTCTCTAAACGTAGGAAGAGAACGAACAAGCTGAATGTCCTGCGTCGCAAGCCGGAAGAGAAACGAAGAGCTGTCCCGCCGCCGCCGGCGTAGTCGACGCTGTTGTGGTGCGTGCTCCTACAACAGTGGCGGAATTCGCCTAGCGGGGCTGCACATCGTGTCATGTCATTGTCGCTCAGCTCAGTTAACTAACATGGTCCTTGGGACGGAAAGCTGCGGCCGCGTCGTTGTAATCGCCGGCGCCGTCTCCGCGCTGGCCGCACTGGACCTTGCCGGCGAGGGCCTCGCGGCGCCGGAGTAGTCAGTGTGCATGGACACAGCAGCACTGCATGGCTATGCTCATGGTCCTGCAGCAGTGCAGCACCGTCAAATTGATCTCCGCATGCACTAGTGGTCCGCCGGAGTAGTCAGTGTGCATCGGCGGCCATGGGTGGAGCCCTGCGCCTGGCTATGCTCATGGGGTGCTGCATGCACTAGCGCTGCACGGGGCTTAGATAAGGAAGGTACTCCTCGGCTGCTAGCGAGCTCGTCATGGCGGCGCTGCTCCTTGGTTGGTATGCCTGTATCGATGAAATCGATGGAGCCGAGATGAACAAGCGAACATCAAGTCATCAACACAGGAGAAGCGAAGCAGCAGTGGTAGAAGAATCCATGGCAACCCAAGACAGCAGCAGAATGGGATGGCAACCCAAGACAGAGTTAGGTATAAGTGTTGATTTGGAATGAGTTAGGATAGGGTTAGAAAATAATTAATTAGATTTGGAACGGGGTGGAAATGGGCTGACCCATTAGCAGGGCTACCTCCAGGTCGTGCCTGTGCCGGCGGTCTGCCGTCCAGCGTCGACACGTCGCAACGCCGGGACGGGTGCTGGGCGCTGTGTTAACTGACACGTGTACGGACCAGCGACATGATCGATGCGTCTGAGTGGAGTGAGTACAAATATGCGAATATTCGTTGCAACTTTTGCCTGGATTGGACAAATCGGCCGGCCTTGAAAGTTTCCTTTCACGGCAAACGGGATTGGAAATTATTTGCTGACGTGATCTCCCTTCGGAGCAAAAAGAACGAGCATCGTGCGCGTGTCGCGCAGGATGAGTGCTCGCGTTACTTGTTGTATAGACGATGGTGCTTGCTTCGGCAGTTAAGGGAGGTGAAATTCATGGTGCTTAAGCTTAAGGGAGAGAAGGTTGTTATTAAATCAATTAAGCATGGGATGAGTACCTAATTTTAACGGGTGCTTCTAAGAGCAACTAAAAGAGATCTTTATATCCTCTGGTATTGATAGCAATAGATATCTTAGTGAAAAGAAATCTCTCAACATCTTTTTTTTTATTAGATCTCTAAATATTTTCATCATCCTTTTTTTTAAAAAAAATCGCTCGCTAAAGATAGAGAGAAGTTGACTCTCAAAAGTACTAAACAAGATATATAGAAGTTATTGGAGTGTTAAAAGATATAGTTAGTGATTTTTTGATAGAGTGACTCTCCAAATGAGGATTTAGTTAGTTGGTTCAAGAAAGATTGTTGGAGATGTTTTAAGAGTCTATTTCAACTTTAATCTGTATATCTCTATTTGATGAGTCAGCCTATGAATATTCTCTTTATATCTCTTGTCTCTTACGTACTCTCTTATTTTTGTTCTCCATACTCCAATAGTTTATCATATATATTTTCTTGTGTGAAAAAATTATGAAAAAACCAGCATATATTCAAAGAGAGATGTAGCTTTCTCCATTAATGGAGAACGAGGGTGGTTTTGGAGAGCGAAAAAGATGAAGAGTGATGCAAAGAGTCTATTTGAGCCTGATTTTTTTATTTGTTTTCTAAAATTTGTAAATAAAATTTAAGCACAGAGTCTCTTGGAGATGCTACTAGACTAACTCAACCACCTTGTTTCAAGCTAAGCATTGTGGAAACTTTACATTGGAGAACCCATAATAATCTCAAAATTTACTACCATACATAGTAAACAGGCATCTATAGGCTGAGTGTGCGTTTATGTTTGAAAATGTTATGTTAATGTGTATTTTGAAAAGGTAGTGGCAGCTTGAAAGCACATCTACATTTTTTTTAATAAAAAAAACTTAGACCCACATTTGGGTTGGGCCGTAACGTGACGGGCTTTTAAAGATTCTTCAAGTAGCCCACGGATTCCTTGGGACAATGAGCGGCACAAGCCCACTCGCCTTGTTTCGTGCGCGAACGCCGCTGTCCTGTCTCGCTTTCGAGAAATCGCGATTGGCGTACCATGCCAGCCACCCGGCCGGGACGAAGCCGCCCAAAACTTCACCGTCGCGGCGTCGCGTCACGACCACCGCACGGATCGCTGCCGCATCGGCGTCACCGACAAACGACAATGCAACGCTGGTTGCCGGGCCCGGCCTATAACTGCACCGGACCGTGTAGGCTGCTCTCTCGGCGTCCGACGCGACTGCATTCCAATTTCCATCTGCCACTGTCGTGTGTCGAGGCACCTATTCTGTGGCTCCAGCCTTTGGGGGCAGGTACCGAAGTGTTGGTACGCAGCGTGCGGTTACGGCAGCGCGGATAGCGAGCGTATGGCCACCCACTTCGTCCTCAACACCGGCGCGAAAATCCCCCGGGCTCGGCACCTGGCAGGCCGACAATGGACTCGTTGGCGACGCCGTCTATGCCGCCGTGAAGGTAAGCCCATCGTTGATCCTTGATATCCTGGTTCTTGATTCCAGCTAGTACTGTTCTCCTGTCCGGACGCGCAGCCTCTGTTCTTGTGGATGTTCATTTGTCATTTCTGTGTTCATCTAGGTCCAATTTCAATGCTTCAGTCTACTTAAAGCATGCACACTAGTTCTCCTTTTTCTTGAACTGTTGATTGAGTGTTGCAATTCCTGATTTCCCCCCTACTGAATAACATGCAGGCAGGTTACAGGCACATTGACTGTGCTCAAGCATACAACAACGAAAAAGAGGTGATGTGCTGATGTCCTCCTCACAGCTCTGCACTGCACTGCAGGTCGGGGTTGGTCTCAAGAAAGTGCTGGACGAGGGCATAGTCAAGCGTGAAAATCTCTTCATCACCTCCAAGCTCTGGTCAGTCAGTCAGTCCTTTCTCTCGTTCCGGGACCTGAACATTTTTTGAATGTCAGGGGACCTGAACATTAGCATTAAGGACCAAGGACTTGCAATCTCGGAGCGTCACTGAATGGCATACGTCTTGGAACATTTGTGCAGGAACACCAACCATGCGCCGGAGGACGTCCCGGTCGCGCTGGATGGCACACTGAAGGACCTGCAAACTGACTACGTGGATCTTTACCTCGTAAGTCCGGAGGAACACCAACCACGCATGCCTGCATTGTTTTTGTCACAAACTTGATGCTGGTGCGGTTCGTCAGATGCATTGGCCGGTGAGAATGAAGAAAGGCGCCGGCTTCGGTCCGCAGAGCGTTGTTCCGTCAGATATCCCCGCGACGTGGGCCGCGATGGAGAAGCTGTACGACGCCGGCAAGGCGCGCGCCATCGGTGTCAGCAACTTCTCGAGCAAGAAGCTGGCGGACCTGCTCGCCGTGGCGCGCGTTCCCCGGCCGTCGACCAGGTCGAATGCCACCCCGTGTGGCAGCAGGGCAAGCTCCGCGCCTTCTGCGACTCCAATGGGATACACCTCTCCGTACGTGCGGTTCAGCAGATAGCTCTTTTGAAAAGTTTTATGGTAGGTAGTGTGATCAGAGGTTCTCCATCATCGGCCGTCGTGTCGCGTAGGCCTACTCGCCGTTGGGGTCGCCAGGCACGATGATGGTGAAGGCGGGCGCGGTGCTGGAGCACCCGGTCGTCGTCTCGGCGGCGGAGAAGCTGGGGAAGACGCCTGCGCAGGTGGCGCTGCGCTGGGGCATCCAGATGGGGCACAGCGTGCTCCCGAAGAGCACCGACGAGGAGAGGATCAGGGCGAACATCGACGTCTACGACTGGCCCATCCCGGACGACCTGTTCGCCAAGTTCTCGGAGATCGAGCAGGCAAGTGAAGTGGCATCAGAAACTCAATCGGAAGCTGAAAGCCTGAAACACTGCAGCCGCTGCACCTGCACTGCAAATGTCTTACCTTTTTCATCTCCGTGACCGTGGCTGTGATTTGCAGGAGAAGTTGATTCGCGCGGGCTTTTTTGTTGATCCCGAAGGCGTGTTCAAATCCATCGAAGAGTTTTTGGATGGCGAGATCTGAACGACGACTGTCTGGGACTGGGAGGAGTTGAGTTACGGAACTTGGCCAAACGTACGTGGAAGAATAAATTTGTGCGTAGTGTTCGGGTACTCGGTACTCCAATAATTTTCAATTGTCCTTTTTTTTCAGTTTGCCAGCATTGTCATTTGACAATTTGGCATTCGTTTTTTATTATACCAAACTTAAAATCCGGAATTGTCCCTACTGAACTTGCGACTGATGCCCCCAATTTGGAGTACACTCCTACTACTAGCTTCAAATCGAGTTCGGAAGTCAAACTGTTGAGCACTTCGTTCCCAGGTGAGGTGACACAACTGCCCTGTTGTTCTGAAGTCGGCTTCAAAAGGAGCAGCGCCGGGCAGGACTGGAGTCTAGAGACTAGCGCCGGACATCAAAAGGAGCATGTCACTCTTGTTTCTCCGTGCTCCACGTCAGACAAAAAAAAAGAATCTACATGGCAAGTTGGCAACAAATAGGCGGCACCTGCGTTGTAACGTGGTCTGAAGCTTTTGACAGATATAAAGGCGGCACCTTACAAATGATTCCAAATTCCAATAACTAATTTGCCAGCGAGTGCTGCAAGTAACTGTCAGTGTGTCACCGTACAAGACCTTGACCCTGCTACGGCGACTGCTGCTGACGAACCTGATGGAGCTGAAGCTGTCCCTGAACCTAAAGAAGGAGGAGCTTTCGACAGTCAGGCGTGATGGGCCTTCCAGGCATCGAAGGGCGAATACCAGGCTAGTTGGGCCGGAGTGGGTTAACTGAACCATGGACCCTGCGTGGCCCAGAATAGGAAGAAGCTCAATCTGCTCCTCCCTCTACCGTTGAGAGATGACTCGAACTTGGTCATTGTCTTAGACCGTGCCGGTAGGCCACGGCGACGGCGAGCTCGGCTGATTGCCGGAGTTCGAGACCTTGTACCCAAATTCTACCTAAACCACATATATCGAGTAGCAGTCTGGTAACAGTAACTATCGGTGATGCAGTGCCGTGCTGTTCCAGTAGTGTTGGAGTTGGAGCAACCCCACACGGCTTCGTCACCACACCCACACCACACCCACACCCAGGCCCAATCCCAATCCCATCCCCACACCGAACCTATTTCTTCTCCGATAGCTTTTCTCTGCTTTCCTTTTTTCCCTCTACAATCTTCCATTCTTCCCGGGTTTCCATCGGTTGGCCTTGGCGTATGGCAAATGCAACCTGACGCTGCTGTCAACGCCATCTACGCTGCTGTCAAGGTCTTTTTCGCAGCTCTGATTCCCTTCTGCTTTCCCATTCAGACGAAAATTTTCTTTCGAAGGTTGCCTGTGTATGTATGTGCTAACAGTCTGAATTACCGGTTTCGTTTCATCAGGATACTAGGATTAGGATAGGATATATCCTTTGTTATGCCTTGGGCCTGTATTCTGTAGATTATAAGGTCTTATTGGACAACCTTATGTGCAATTGGAAATCTACGTTGATGCAGTTACCTCAGCTAACCTAGCTAGCTTATCCTCGAAGTGTTCATATATGCTCCAAAGGAGATCATAATGTTTTTTTGAGGGAATAGGATCATAATGTTAATTTAAATATAGAAGAAGAACGCAACAGATTTTTTCTGTTTTTAACCTTTTCTGTTCAAAATGTGTTGCCAATGTTAGAATAATCTACTGCTTTCTTGTGTGAACACACAGCAAACGGAAGGTGGCGCCGAAAAGGCCCCCTGCTATGGTACTGTAGCCGCTGCAGAGGTAGACGCCGAACGGCTCACCTGCCGCACTGTAGCCACATGCAGGGACAGGCACAAAAGTCAGTCTTGCTGTGTTATCTAGTTACTGTTGTAGCATGTGCGTTGTACTGGGACTAGATGAATAGACTTGTATAAATAGATATATACGGCAACTCAGTAAAGAGAGTTCAGATTTGCCATCTCCCATACAGGGCTTCGGCCAACGCTGGTGTCTTGTACTGTGTGTGTATGCTCTATTCACTCTTTTCTTCAACCTCTAGCCATAATGTGTGGAGACGGACAACGCTTGTTCGTGGTCGGCTTAACTAGTGGGTGCTCGGCAACACTAGCGGGTGCTCGGCAAGACTGGTGAGTGGTTCACTCACCTGAGCCGGTGATCCTGTGGGCTAACAGCCAAGTCATTGATACGCCATCGGATTGTTTGCATCTCTTCTACCCCAGTCTAAAATTGATGTTGGTTTTCTGACACAGGCTGGGTATTGGCATATTGATTGTGCTGCAGCATACAACAATGAGAAGGAGGTAGTAATTACTTGCACCCCAGTTTTTCACAAGTAGTGTGTATTAGGGCTTCTTTCTCTAAAATGCAAGCCTTACCTTCATTTTTTATTTTTTACTAATCCTGCTTACACAGTAGTGTGTATTAGGGCTTCTTTCTCTAAAAATGCAAGCCTTACCTTCATTTTTTATTTTTTACTAATCAAGCTTCTTTCTCTAAACTCATGCTGCTAACCTGCTGTTATTTCAGGCATTTTCGCCTTTAGGCTCACCTGGATCTCCTGGGATCAATGGGCCAAGTGTCCTCAAGAACCCCATTGTGGTCTCTGTTGCAGATAAGTTGCAGAAAACACCTGCCCAGGTTGCTCTACGCTGGGGAATTCAAATGGGCCATAGTGTACTCCCAAAAAGCGCCAATGAATCAAGGATTAAGGAGAACATTGACATATTGGACTGGTCTATTCCTGAAGATTTGATGGCAAAGTTCTCTGAAATCAAACAGGCATGCCCTAATGTAACCTTTTTTGTTCTGCTAGTTGCATTTCATTGATTGTCTTCGTCTATGATTGCTACAACTGTTCATGTACCAGAACAATATGCATATTTCAATATAATGCACCAGTCGTTTCTTGTAGAAATGCACTGAGTGAAGTCTTTGGGTACTTACACTTCCATTCTTCTCATATGATATTCCTTCTGGTTTATTACATGCAGGTCAGGCTGCTGAGAGCTGAGTTTGCAGTTCATCCTCAGGGCGGCTACAGTACATTGGAGGATTTTTGGGATGGTGAAATATGAAAGCATACAATTTTTTTCAGAATAAAAGAGCCAAACGAGGAAACTATTCTGACATGGCAGATGCTTTGCTTGGACAGCTGAGATATGATTACCTTGGTTTGGAGAAAGAACCTCAGGATAGTTGCCCCTGTTGCTATTCCTCTAGAAGCTTTATGTTTCATTGTATCCAAAGATGACTGTTCCAATTCCGACCAAATAAAGTGCAGTAATGGCATTTTCAACTTATCCTTATTTGTTTTGGAGTCTTGTGTTGTCATCCATCACAAAAAGGGAGATTGAATGCATAGTCCCTAATACGGTGGATTTGGAGGTTTTCGTGATCGATGAACACAATGTGTTTTGCAATGGTAAATGCAATTAGGTTAGTCACAATGAGTGACAAGTGTCTTTGCCACAAGACTTGGTTCATTGACTGAAGCATGGTACAAAGCAGTGGCGAAGCTAGAGCAAATTAGAGGGTGGTGCTCTTGCCATGTGGGTGCATATACATGTGCCACGGGGGTGCATATATAATGAAAAATTAGAGAAAATAACTGTTTTAACAAATTTTAGGTGGTGCATTTGCACCTTCTAAGCTGAATGTAGCTTCGCCTTGGTGCAAAGGATATTCGTGAAGACTAAAGACAGTAGGACACTATAAAAGCGAATGTAGGCTACGTGCAGAGACATTCACTAGTAGTGTGTATCAGGGCTTTGCTTTTTCCTTTGGTCCTACTATTAGGAGGAGGGTCCAAGGCGTTCAATTGGAGAGAGAGAAAGCAAGAGCATGTTCATGTACAATAGGCTAACTCACAGTCAAGTTTATGATGAAAAGTGGCCCCATTAAGAATGATTTCAAGTCAATGATCTCAAAGAAGTTGGACTGGTCGAGATTGGACTTGAAACGGGCTGAAAAACAGTGCCGGAGTATGCAGCGAAGACACCCAGTGACCATGTGAGTGTCTTATGATATAGTGGAGTACTGTGTGACATTGATGGATCATCTGATGAGGCCAAGCTTGAATTGGTGACTCGTTGGCCAGCTCACTGTGATACCTTATATGATCCGGTGAGGACTGTTTGTGAAAGACCAACTTGACTTAGTGACTTGTTGGCATGGTTACTAGAATGCACCATATGATCTAGCGTGGAGTATGTGACAAGGTGGAGGATTATCCAGTGGCCTATGTTGACTATGTGACTAGTTGGCCAAGTCTCTATGGTGCACAATATGTTCCGTCGGGACTGTGTGATCCACCACATATTATACAGAAGGGAATATGTTGGTGTATTCCCAACTAGCCGCTAGAGGAATCAACTAGGTTAGCGTCACCCTATGATCTAGCGTGGCCAGTGAGGGGCGGCAATCATCAGGTGATGTATGCATTTGTCAGTTTTGTTTTTTCAACGGCTAGAGTTTGCATAGGCTAATATTGTAGCATAAAAAATTTTAAGCTCAATTCACCCTTTCCTCTTGGGTAATTCGGTCCTTACATCAGGGGAAGCATTTGGTTCGTTTTTTATGCAACTATTTTGATCTTGTCTTTCGATCTGTTTTGTGGCAAGGTCCGGTTTCTCTCAACACTTTGTTTCAATGATGAAGGATTGTAAACCTACATCATCTTGACTTTCCTAGATGATGTTCTTTCGTGGTTACTAGATCTCATTACCGGCGGTGAATAGCTTATGCGATCTTGAAGTCCTTCTATGACGCCGATGTTTGCATGTCTCTTTTTCCTTTACTTTCATTTTGTTGTCATTTTCAAGCTCCGACAGGAGGCAAATGGTCAAAGGAAAAAAAGGATGACCGTATTGGCTTTTCATGCACTTATACTTTTTAGAGCTTTAATGTTAAATTGCCATTTTGTTTACTAGCTACTGTTTTCCTTGACAAATATTAGATACGAGTATGGATGAAAACGATACGGATATTTATTCGACCGTCCGTTCGACCGAACAAATATGAACATTTATCTGAATAGTTACTCGGATATCCGTATTTTTTTTCGGATACGGATACTAAAACGGATATCTTAGGCGGATATCAAATACGGATGTAATATCAACGATATCCGGCGGATATCGGATAATCCGGATAAGTATCGGATATATCCGGATATTTAAAAACGGATATTATCCGGATATTATTCAAACGACTTTGGATGGAGAAATGATCAAAATAAAAATTGTAGATCTCAAAAAGTTATGAAACTTTGTTGTTTACAACTTTTTCGTTTGAAATCATTTAGTGCTTCAAAATTTAAACCGTCCAAACTTTCTCAAATGGAAAACTAGTTTATAGGCGTCAAAATTTAAAAATCACAAATTTGAACCATCCAAACTATCTTAAATGGAAAGTTGACCAAAACAACAATTGTAGATCTTGATGAGTTGAACAAACTTGGTATTTCAAAACTTTTCAATTTGAAGTCATTTAGAGTTCATAATACTAGAGTCAAAAGAGTTTTTTCATTTGACCAAATTTGACTTGGTCAAACTTGCTCAAATGAGACACTAAATGACCTCAGATGAAAAAACTCTGAATACCAAGTTTGATCATCTCAGCAAGATATACAATTGTTACATAGCTCATTTTCTCATTTGAGAAAGTTTTATCAAACACTAGTCATAAATTCTTGAATCTCATATAGACTTTCTGAAGCTATGTCACACACTTGTGAAATTTAAACTATATTTTGTTCAAACTTTCTCAAATGAAAAAATAGCCTATATAAGGATTGTAGATCTTAATGAGCTGAACAAACTTGGTATTCAAAACTTTTCAATTTGAGACAATCTAGGGTTCCGAAAACTAGTTTGTAAGCATCGAAATTTAAAAATCACAAATTTGAACCGTCCAAACTATCTCAAATGGAAAGTTAACCAAAACAAGAATTGTAGATCTTGATGAGTTGAACAAACTTGGTATTCAAAACTTTTCAATTTGAAGTCATTTAGAGTTCATAATACTAGAGTCAAAGTGTTGTTTTTCATTTGACCAAATTTGACTTGGTCAAACTTGCTCAAATGAGACACTAAATGACCTCAGATGAAAAAACTCTGAATACCAAGTTTGATCATCTCAGCAAGATCTACAATTGTTACATAGCTCATTTTCCCATTTGAGAAAGTTTTATCAAACACTAGTCATAAATTCTTGAATCTCATATAGACTTTCTAAAACTATGTCACACACTTGTGAAATTTGAACTACATTTTGTTCAAACTTTCTCAAATGAAAAAATGGCCTATACAAGGATTGTAGATCTTGAATCCATGACCATGACTCCATGAGACCCATGAAGCCATGAGCTTGGCTATTTTTACTCATGCCGCGAAGATTGGTGCTTGTATGATGTTTGATGTATGATGTATGATGTATCTATATCTTTATCTTATTTGTTGCTTTACTCTTTAGTCTTTCGGCTTAATCTAGATGGATTATGGACTCATAGAGTGGTGTAATGGTTTGCGCACGTATGATATATATATATATATATATGCTGCTTTTACTCAATATCCGAATAGATATTTGTATCCAACCTTCTCCGAATCCGATTCATACCGTATTCGATACTCATTATTCGTATCCGTAACCGAGTCAATCCGTATTCGTATATGTATCCGAACGCTATCCGTGTCCGAATCCAAACAGAAATATGAAAATAAATATAATATGAGTGATATCCGTTCGTATCCGATCCGTTTTTATCCCTAGATACGAGGCACTCTCTTGAGTTCTAACTAAAAGAACAGTATTATGAAAAGCAACGTGCTTCAAGAGTCAAGAAATTGGTGTCCCACGTACCCACCCACCGTTGAAAGGAGGGGAGGGATGTGCTCCACAATTTGGGCGCTACCAATGATGGGGTACCAATGTGCCATCCATACGGCTTCCAGTCATGCACAGATATATTAGTAATTGTTGGACTGAGCTCCTGCTCCACCTCCACCACCGGAAATCCCTAGACTCCTTTCTTTTGGATATGGACCACCAGATCCAGGATGTCCGGCCTAAATATTCAAAAGCACAACCACTAACACCATGCCCGTACCTTCGTTGATAACCTTTTTCCCAAGCCATTTCCTCTACTCTCTGTTTTTTCTTCGTGCCCTAAGATGGCTGAATCCTTTGTTCTCAATACTGGCGCAAGAATTCCGTCGGTTGGCCTTGGCACATGGCAAATAGAGCCTGGAGCTGTCAGCGACGCCATCTATGCTGCTGTTAAGGTCTTTTCTGGTTGCTATTCTGGCCTATTTCCCTTTGAAAATAAAGTTTCTCCAGATTGGTCATTGTTGCTTTTCTTCCTTTGTTTCTAAAGTCTTTTTCCCTGCATGTGTATAAGTTTGAGCGGAATCATACTTGTTTTATCTTGAGCTTGTTGAATCTCTATATTGAGCTTTGACAAACTTACACAGGTAGCCATCTAACTTGTTTCATTTGTTACAAAGAACTGACAGACTCTAGGTTAGCTTGCTCTTGAAGTGTTCGTAATATGCTCCAGTGTTGTTTTAGCAAGAAGTACAAGGCGGAAGTTTATTGTTCTTAAGTTCTAGTATCTATCGATTACATTTCTTCTCTCCTATTCCAGTCTGAAGTTTTTGCTGGTTTTCTGACACAGGCTGGGTATCGGCATATTGATTCTGCTGTAGCATACTGCAATCAGAAGGAGGTAATTACTAATTAGTAACTCGGTGTCTACCATCGAGGTGACTGATCACCATAGCACCCCATGACCTTTTACCCCTTCCATGCTAATACTTTTCATTGAATCATTGCAACTGATTAATAAGTTGGACTGGTTGGCACCTTCAGGAATTGATTTTTGACTTTATGATTTTTCGCTTCACATGAATATGACATCATTCCGTTTTTTAATTGAACAGTAAGATATGACAAGCATGCTTTAAAAGCTTAAATAGAGTTTTGACGTATCACATCATCTGTTGTTGTAATCTGGTCAGCTCTTGCTACCTACGTCTTGCACCACCCTGTCCTTGTTGCAACAAGAAAGGGTATGACCGGTATGACCTTGTAGTTGTTAGAGCATCTCCACCAGATCATTTATATTCCATTTCCTATAAGTTGCTTTAAGAGAGTACCCTAAAATCAATATAGATACATTTGATCAATACTACTCATGTTTATCTACTAGTCCTGCAAAGATATATTTAAATTATATAACATTTTTTCAATTTCTGTTGATTGTTAGGACTTAGGAAATGAGCATAACTAAACTGGTTCGTGTAGGTTTGGTTAGGGTAGATGGTAGGGTCGTGCATCCCAACCACTCTGGTTCAAATTTCTTTGGCTTGAATATACTAGGTGACTATTTTTAAGAAAAACTGCTTAATTCCTTCTAATTAAATTGGGTCTTTTTTTCTTAATTCTCTATTATTAAATAAAGTGGTTATTTCAACCTTTTTTAATATAATGATGAATCAGCATGGGTATCCGAAGTCCGTGTAGCTAAGGAGACTTCAATACGGGAATTGTTAACCACCAACTTTGATCTCCAAATTATTTAAGTCACTTTTGTCTTGCAATCTGGCCTGTTGCATTTTTATATAAACGCATGAACCGCATGCAAGATACACGAGGGAAGTTATGAAATTCCTATGAACTCATTGCCAAGGTCAAGTTGTCAGATTGAAGTTTATTCTCTTTTATAGGTTGGAGTGGCTTTAAAGAAATTATTTTAGGATGGCGTGGTTAAGCGTGAAGATTTGTTTATCACCTCCAAGCTATGGTTAGGCTTCACTTCCCAACCTTATCTCAAGCAATGATGGATAACTAGTTTATGTTCTAAAATCAGAAACTCCGAATTTTGCAGGCCTGGTAATCATGCACCTGAAGATGTGCAGGAGGATATTGGTTCATCCCTTGAAGATTTGCAACTTGACTACGTAGATCTGTACCTTGTAAATTCCTACTCTTGATCTTGATACCTATCAGATGATAGTTTGCCTACTGTTTACCTGCTAATATAAGATCTGGCTTGTGATGCTGTAAACTGTAACGACCTTATTTTACAGATTCATGGTCCAATCCGTATCAAGAAAGGAACCATGTTTATCCCGGAAAACCTTATCCCTACTGATATCCCTGCAACATGGGGAGCCATGGAGAAGCTATACTACGCAGGCAAAGCTCGTGCGATCGGTGTGAGTAACTTTTCCTGTAAGAAGCTGCAGGATTTGCTTGCTGTTGCACGTGTGCCTCCAGCAGTCAACCAGGTTGAGTGCCATCCAGTTTGGCAGCAAGACAAGCTACGTAACGTAAGCTATGCCAGTCAACGGGCGTTCATCTTTCTGTAAGTTTTAGAGAGCATTTAGCAATCAAATATTCCAGCATTTGTTTTCAGTTTCCATTGGCTGAGTTTCTGCTTCTACACTTCTGGTTCTGTTGTTACATTACAGGCGTATTCTCCATTAGGCTCACCTGGATCACCTGGATACAGTGGCCCAAGCGTGGTTAGCAACCCCATTGTCATATCTGTTGCTGAGAAGCTGCAGAAAACGCCTGCCCAGGTCGCTCTGCGCTGGGGGCTACAATTGGGCCAGAGTGTACTTCCCAAGAGTGCCAACCAAAGAAGGATCAAAGAGAACTTCGACATATTTGATTGGTCCATTCCTCACGATTTGATGGCGAAGTTCTCTGCAATCAAACAGGCATGTATCAAAGCAACCTTTCCCATCATATTGTCTATGCATATGATAATCTAAATCTAGTATGCTGTATTTGTACATTGATCATTTCATGGAGAATCGCAATGAATGATGACATCCTCTCTTTTTTTTAATGCAGACCTCCTCTATTTAGGTTTTCATTTATTTTTCCTATCTGATATTTCTTTTGATTCGTGACATGCAGGTTAGGCTGCTAAAAGTCGAATTTGCAGTTCACCCGAAAAGTGGATACAATAGCTTGGAGGATCTATGGGATGGTGAAGTGGAATACGAAGACGAAAGAACAGAGAATCAGGACCATTCTGATTTCTTGAGATGCTTTTCATGAACAGTTGAGAATATCTCGCCTTCGCGTGGGGAAACCCTGACCTCATGTGACTGCTACTTCCTTAACAAATACAGTTCGAGTTCACAGTAAAACTGCAATGTGTTATCGTAGTCAACTAAATTTGTATTCAATTTTTCATTTGAAACCAAAAGGTAGAAAAATGTTTTGCATGGTCATGGGCCTGTTTGGAAGAAGCTCTGAGAGCAGCTTCTGGGCTAAATGAAAGAGGAGCTCTGTCAAACAGTTTTTTATTAAGAAGTGATTTTATGTTGATTCTGTAAAATGTTTCTCTAAAATAAACTAGAGACTGAGAGCTGGAAAAAATAGCTTCTCCTAATTTATTCTATGCAAAGAGTCACCGTTTGCATAGAATTTACCATAGAAAATCATGGAGAAACATTTTCAGTTAGAGAATCAACGTCCAAGCTTCCACAGAGATTTTAGAGGAGCTCTCAAACAGGTCATATTTGTACTGCAAATTCACACAAATGCTTTATAAAAAAATGATTGTTCATAACATTCCAGTAAATAAAAAGTGTAGTATAGGTCTTAGTGATCAGGTTGAAGCTCGCAGGTGGACCCTCGAAACTTGCTCGTAGGTCCGCACGTGGGATAATCCACACAGGAATGCAAAAAAGTACGAGCTTGTTCGTTTCATCCCAACCCAAGGGGAATGGAGAGGATCGGAGGGGAATAAGAGGGATTTTGACTTGTAGGGGATTAAATCCTCCTCAATCCCCTTCAACCCCATGGTTTGAATATAAAACGAACAAGGCCTAACAGTAATGGTGGGTATAGGGCGTCCGTCAGCCACGGACGGTGCCGATGGTGGGCCGCGACAGTCCAACGACCGCTCATCCACTCGCCCTAGCCCCCAACTGTTCTAAAAAAGAAAAGAGCGGTGCTGGTGGCGGTGGTGCGCGTGCACCGCTGGTGGCCTGGTGCTGGTGCGCCCGCCCGGCCGAGCCAAGCCCACTGCTAGTGGCGGTGGTGCTCGCGCGCCGCCGCTTGCTGCCGGCTCCGACCCCGGTGGCTGGAATCGACCGGCACCCGGCCTTCACGTCCCCTATGTTGCGTATGTATGTTTCAATTGTTTTAGACGTTTAAGATGTATATGTTGCAATTGTTCTATTTTGATGTTGCAAAAGTAGATCAGGGGATGTTGCACATGTTGCAAGTGTTTCAATGAATGATGCAAGCGTTTATTCAAAATGTTTCATCTGTTTACAGACATATGTTGCAATCGTTTTTGATCTGGATGTTGCATATGTTTCACAAATATATTGCCACTGTATGTTCCAGAATGTTTCAGCTATTTCAGTCTTATGTTGCAGCAAGTAGTTTCATGTTGCAAGTTGCAAGTGTTATTTTTTGGATGTTTCATGTGTTCTACACATATGTTGCAAGTGTGTTTTTCAAGTGTTTCATCTGATTTTCAGACGCATGTTGCATTAAAAAAAATTCATGTTGCAAAGGTTTTATGTTGTTTGGTGGTAGGCGAGCAGGGGGTGCAGGGGCAACCGCTCCCATTGTCGGGCGGAGGTCCGGTGGCCCTCTCACCGGGACCTTCGCCTCCTCCATGGCCGATGCGGTGGTGAAGGTCTTTTTTTCTTGACTCTCTGTCGTGCATCGTCTTGCGTCCACATCCTGCAAAAAGAACTCACATCATGAATCGTTTTCCTACGTGACTGAGGGGTGGCTTCCCGAAGGGATCCTTCCCCAACAATCATTTTTAATAAAATACAAAAAATAATGTTAATAAAAATAAAGATTAGAGTTTCAATTTAAGATGTGAATAAAAATTAACAATGACTAATAAAATTATAATATTTAAAAGCCAAAATTATTCATACGCCACAATATATGGGCTTCAACAAGAGCTAACATTATTTTTTGGTGAGGTTTGAACTAAACATATATATTGGAGAAACAAAGAATTGGCAAACGTGAAAAACAAGAATTACATATGGCGAAACATGTATAGTAATTAGTAAATTTACCACAACCCCAACATAGATTACAGGTTATGTAATATGTATTGTATTGGCAAATGAACAATGAGAGAGAGGGTAAGTTCAGATAAGCATCTTTAATTAGTTGCAGGTACTAAATTTATCAACAAAATTTTAATATTTAGCTCTCCTAATATATATATTTTTTTAGGGAACTGGAAGGGTAGAAGAGCCCCTACCTCTCCTAATATTCTAGCTCCGGGTTGATGGACTAGAAAAAAGAAAACGACATTTGAAGAAGGTAATTAATTGTCTCATCTTCGTGATAGAAGAAATATTGCAACCATGTTTGGCAAGGTTTTGGCTTCTCCTAAAATTGCTCCTGCAATGGTTCCTCCAGCAGCTTCTCTAGTTGAGCTAAAGAAAAATGTTGACAAAATAGCTTCAGAGAGTATTTTTGAGAAGAGGAGCCGGTTGAAGCTAAATTTTTGACTCCTCCTAGTTCCAAAAAAAAAAGCTCCAGCTCCTTGGTGGCTTCGGAGTCGAAACCATTTTTTCTTGCTCCGTTTGGTAATGCTTCTTGAGAAGCCAGAGCCCTCTTAGAAGTCCTACCACTATATCAATTGTGTTTGCTTCTCTCTGCTATGGAAAAAGAACTTAGCATATTAATATTATACTTGGTCACTTCCTTGGTAAGTCTTTAGCTAGATTTTACTGTGTCAAAAATATGTATAGATATCTGTTTCTCAATAAATTGACTTCACCTTTTCTTAAAAGAAGCTTCTCGTAACACAAATGGCTAATAGCTGGTTGTGGTTAGCTATCTGTATTAATAACTATATCAAGTTGCAATAATCGTCACATATATTTTTATCAAAGCTTTAACTCATGACTCTTTGAGATGGGTTCTCAAAAAATTGGGTGCAGGCGTCCTGCCACATGACTTGACCTATCAGCTACCATGCTCAACTGCTCCGCGTCCAGCCACTGTCGTTCAGATTCAGAATGTCCTCTTCACACATTCGGTGAGTCCAAAATCCACAATGTTTTTGCTGGCAATTGTAGAAGTAGCCAAGTAGGTATCTTCATCCTGCCAAGCTCCAGCAACAAAGGCTACCTGCTATTTATACTTTCGCTTTTCAGTTTGGCCTCTGGACTCTGGAGTGCGTAGATGGCCAAGTTCTTCCTCCTAAACACCGGTGCTTCTATCCCATCGGTTGGCCTTGGAACATGGCAAATATCACCAGCCGTTGTCGAAGATGCCATTCGTGCAGCTCTCCAGGTCTTGTCACTTCTTGCTTTTGTTTAGATCCATTACTTATATGGTCTTTTCCTCTTTTGTTTTCTTCCTTGTAGTTGTGGATTCAATTGAATCTAACGTAAGAATCCTTTATTGCTCAAGTGGAGAACATGTTGGTTTATCAACCAGTTAACCCAATATGTTAATGGAAACTGTGAAAGCATAAAGTTTAGTTTCAGAGCTCTTTACTATTTTGTGCCAATTTTAATTGCACATGAACGGAAGGTATCAGGTTTTAATTGCATAGCATGTCATATGGGCTTCTTTTGTTTGGATGTAATGTTTCTACTTGTAATAGTGCAGGCAGGTTATCATCATATTGACTGTTCTCCACAATATGGTAATCAGAAAGAGGTAATAACTTTTTAAGCCCTTCTTTTGCATAATAAAGAGCCCTTGAAACAAACGCTACTAGTTTGTGTTGGTCTTTAACGTCAGCAGTCAGCTTACAACTACTCCCTCCGTCCCACAAATAGATCATTCTCACTTTTCGAGAAGTCAAATATTTTCAACTTTAACCAATATATATAAGAAAATATTAGTATTTATGGTGCATAATTAGTATCATTAGATGAATCATGCGCTGAATATATTTTCATAATGAACTTATTTGGAGATAAATGTTACTAATATTTTCTACAAACCTAATCAAACATACGAAACTGCCACGAATCCCATGGAGACGCTCTTTTTGGGATAGAGGGAGTATGTAACAAGTATTAAGATAAACAAGAACAACTTAAGAGAAGCAGATGGTAATGTAGAAGAAAGTAGCATCACAGATGGAAAAAGACCAGCTTAAGAGGAACTAAGGTTTTTTTATTAAAAATAAAATAGACACTCAAATTCAATTTGAAGAGGACTCGAATATGGTGGTGTTTGTATGCATGTTCATAGCATTGATGTAAGAATCTTGGCTATGGCCAGAGTGCCAGACAATTATTCATTTATTCTTCATGGGAAGACTCTTCACTTCTATACGGCGGTAGTTATTAATTATGACTTTTTTGGTAGGTTGGTTTTGCCCTGAGGAAACTATTTGAGGAGGGTATACTTAAACGTGAAGATCTATTCATCACTTCTAAATTGTGGTATTTTATCAACCTTGTACTTCCAGATGCTGTGATGCCAGGTGGATTCTTGAAGATGCTCTGATTTTTTCAGGTGCACTGATCATGATCCAGAAGACGTTCCAGAGGCGATTGATAACACACTACAACATCTGCAGCTTGATTACTTAGATCTTTACCTAGTAAGTTCCAAGTCTGCAGCTTATTTAACTAATCCTAGTTCTTATACTTCTATTTAACTGAAAATTGTGCTACTTCAAGCGATTTTATGGTGTTCTTTTTTTGATCGAAAAGGTAAGAGCTCTATCAATTAAGAAGAAGAAAAAGTTCAGTACAAGACAAGCCACACTCGTTTCTCCACAATTCTTTCGAAGAGTGCATTCTAAATTCTTTAAATTTTGACATTCCTCTCTTCTCCACAATTTTTGACTGATCGCTTCACAGGTCCATGGTCCAGTTCGTGCAAAGAAAGTAACTAGGCTGAGCACCGAAAACATCCTCAAGCCTGACATCCCTGCTACGTGGAAAGCAATGGAGAAACTGTACGACTCAGGCAAAGCTCGTGCCATTGGCGTGAGCAATTTCTCCTGCAAGAAGCTGGAGGATTTGGTCGCTGTCGCACGTGTGCCACCAGCAGTCAACCAGGTGGAGTGCCACCCGGTTTGGCAACAAGACAAGCTCCGCAAGTTTTGCCGGTCGAAGGGCATCCACTTATCTGTAAGTTCCACTCCTATTCAGATCCTTCGTGAACCTGATGACAAACCTCTTCTCGTTTCTTCTGATCAGCTTGGCAGTTACTTCCATTGTTCTTAATTATTGGTATCCTTTTTGCAGGCATATGCACCACTAGGTTCGCCTGGATCACCAGGAAACGACGGACCGGACGTCCTTAGCCACCCCACTTTGATTTCCATCGCCAATAAGCTGCAGAAAACCCCTGCTCAGGTTGCTCTTCGCTGGGGTATTCAGATGGGGCAGAGCGTGCTCCCGAAGAGCGACAACGAGGCGTGGACGAGGGAGAACATTGACCTGTTTGATTGGTCCGTCCCTGACGAGCTGATGGCGAAGTTCTCTGAGATCAAGCAGGCATGCCACGAATCTTGATTTTGGTGTTTCCTGATGAGTTCGTAGCTGAAAACCTGGTATTCATCGTTTCTCTGCCTGTTGTGTTTGAAAAATAATTGCAGGCCAGGCTTTTCAAGTACGAGTTCGTGACTCATCCGACGAGCTTTTACAAGTCCGTGGAGGATTTCTGGGACGGCGAAATCTGAGGACACCAAATGTACTCTTCTTGGTTGGAATGTTTTGCATAAAATATAATTGCCAGATGAATCATGAATCTTTGTCACTCGCCTCGATGTAGTGCTGAACTGTCGATCAAATTGAACGAAAAGGTTCCCTCCTGTAAAAAAAAGGAAATGAGAGGCGACACGAGGGGTGACACGAGAGGTGACGTCGAGGCGGGTTGGCCGCCGGGACCCCGCCGGAGCTGTGGGCTCCAGTCATCGCTGAGGGGCTCCCTGCCGGCATCGCTGTGTTGGGTGAGGGGTTCCCCTCCTCCTCCCCTGGGTAGAGGGCCCAAGGTGCAGCGAGTGAGGAGGCCCTTCAAGGACTGGAACAAGGGTCCCAATGGTGAGACACGTGGCACCACGGGATCCAGGCAGGTGGCGCGATCTGCGGGAGCAGGGAAGACGAACAATGGCGCACATCTCGTGGGGCTCGAGGAGGAGGGTGGTGCGGTTGAAGACTTCTTCGGCCAGCTGTGGTTCATCCCCTCCGACTCCCCCTCCCCTGGCGGCCATGTTAGGGTTTGACACCATGGCTTGCGCCGTAGAGGATCTTTGGGAGTCCAAAAATTTCGAAGTCAATGATTGCTTCCCGGTTGGAGTTGGAGATTACTGGATTGGTTCTATGAAGAAATTCAGTTTTGCATCCGACATTTGGGGGAAAGGTGTCGAGGAGTCATTCGTGTCGAAGTTGAAAGGGGTGATGGCTAGTCAAGGCAGAGGGGGGAGAGCTCCGCAAAGGCCGAGGAGTCCTGACGAAGATTGGGGCTGAGGTCAGGGAGGCTGGTTCCAGAATCCGCCGCCGTTCTACCAGCCGCCAAAGGGGCCTCCGCCGATGGGGCCGCCTCCGATGGGGTCGTACCCTCCACCGCAGCCAGGTCCGTTCGGGTTCTTCCCAAATCAACTTCACAATCAGCAGTACTACAACCAGGGGCAGTATTCTGGGCAGAATCAGTTCAATGCTTTTGGGCAGAAAGGTCAGGGTCCTCGTCCTGGTGGTAGAGGGGCTCCAGGTACTCGGGGGAGGTTTCAGCAGGGCCAGCAACAAGGCCGTCAGCAACCTCAGCAGCAGCAGGCATAATAGCAACCCAAGGCTTTGGACCATCAGTCAAATATGCAGGAACATAACTCTACTACTCATCTAGAGGTAGATCAGAATGCTGTTCAGGTGACAGAGGGTGATAAGTCTGGAAGTAAAAGGGCGTCTCAAGTGGTCTGTTACAATTGTGGGGAACCAAAACACTTTATTTCCTCTTGCTCCAAACCCAAAGTCTGCTTTGTGTGTTATTGTCAGGATCACATAGTTGAGAAGTGCCCCCGGTGGAGTGAGCTTGAACAAGTGGTGCAATTTATGGGTAGTGCTTGTAAGGGCCTAGGATTCTTCCATGTGAATGTATCTCCAGATGAAGATAGGTTTAAGTTGTGGACTGGATTTGATAACTGTGGAGTTTTCACAATAGAAGAAGGTGAGATGGATCAGGAGACCATTTTGAGGTATCTTAGGGAATTATTTGATGCAAACTAGCCGTGGCAGTTAAGGAGCATGGATGAGTTCAGTTATCCGGTGAGATTTCCTCCTGGGCAAAGAGTGGACAGGATAGTGATCAACAAGATTTCATACTTCTACTTGGGAAAAGGTACAGTGATGGCTTCTTTAAAGGTGTGGAATGGAAATATTAAGCCAGTGAGCAGCTTGACTGAGGTTTGGGTGCAAGTCAGGCGCATTCCTCCTAAATGGTGTGATTGGGTCACTTTTAGACAAGTTGCTTCTACAGTTGGGAAATTGGTGGAGGTGGACTGGCAATCCCTATTTGTTAGTTTCTTTGCAATGGTGAGAGTTAAAGTGAAATGCAGGGACCCAGTCAAGATTCCCCAGAAGAGGGCCATGTAAATGAAGGATGAGCTATTTGTGATTAGTTTTAAAATAGAAGGATTTGAGCAGATATCTGAGAAAACAGGAAAGGATGGTGATGATGGTGATGGTGATACAGATTTAGAAGAGGATGACCTGCTATCTAATGAAGAGAAGGAGAAGGATGGTGATCCTACCAGTCCTAAAAAAGACAAACCCTTTGATGATGCAAATCAAGGGAAGAAAGTTGATGAACCTCTAGATAAGCAATCTAAGCAGTCTATGCCAAGTGGGAGTAAGACAGTAAGAAACCTCAGTCAACTCTTTGCTATGGAAATGCTAGAGAATTATATCAATAGAGGGGCTATGGAATCTTCATGCATTAGTCTCCTAAAGGCTATGGAAATAGAGGATAGGGAGGAGATGTGGGTAGAGGATGCTGGTGAGACTTTTGAACCAGAAGAAGAAAGCCTGAATTTGCCATCTGAGTGGCTGTATGGATACTCTGATAACAGTGTTTAGCCAGATCAGCCATTACTGAATCAAGTAAGTACTGAGAGTAATGCCAACAGTTCTGATATTCAACTGGTTGATTCTGCACCTAGGGTAGTTGTCGGTGTTTTGGACCGGGGGGTCCTCAACCAACTAGTAAATGTGAACTGCGTGCCCCTAATCCCAGATGGTGATGCAAAGAGACACAAGGTTTATACTGGTTCAGGCAATCGGTGCCCTACGTCCAGTCTAAGAGATCGATCTTGTATTCCTTGCACCGAAGTGCTTGTAGTAGGGGGTTACAAGCAGGGTGAGAGAGGGAGCTAGTCCTAGGTCTTGGCATGGAGCGGTGCAGGCTGCTTAAGACGTTGCTCGCAGGCAGCTTGGGAGAGTGTGTGTCTACGTGAGCCTATCTCCGCGAGCTCGTGAGCGCCTCGCCCCCCCTAAGAACGGCCCCGGTCTCCCCTTTTATAGTTGAAGGAGGGACATGGGTGATACATGTGTTCACCATGCGGCGAGCGGAGGTGACGTGCCGGACTCCTGTAGCTTACTACTGTAGCGGCATGGTCAACGGAGTGGTCTTGTCCTTGATGTACTGGAGCAACGCGCCAGTCACACCCGATCTCGTATGACGTGGGTGCTCCAGTGACAGCTTGACGCAGGGTATGGCCGACGATGTGCTGGTCGCTATGGGTTGACGGTGAAAAGAGCCAAGGCTCAGTTGGTGCCAAGGCCGAGCCATCGTGGGGGGCTCGGTGGGCACGAATCCTGAGGCTGCCGAGACCTAGAAGTGGATTGCCGAGGCCTTGGAGGGAGCAGTTGGTCTCATGCACCGATTCCGAGGCTACAGTGACCCGTGCCTGCTTCCCCACACCGTGCTGCTCCTGGAGCAGGAATTAGGTAGCACAAAGGCAAAGACGGACGCTGAGCATGGGTGCGATCTTGAGCAGGCAGTGTCCGATAACCCCTGTTCCGTCCTGTCTCACGTCCCGTCGGCCACCCTGCTGTACTGCACCCACGTGCGGCTGACGTTGCGGGAGTGGTTGGACGCGTGGCATTTTGTCAGAGAAGTCGGTCGAGGCGGAGGCGACGAGGTTGTTGCCGAGCCGGCCTCAAGCGAGTCGGAGAATCAGTACTTCGTCCGAGGCTTCACTCGTGGGGCCTCGGGCGAATCGGAGAATCGGTAACCCATCTGAGGCCTTGCGGAGCGGGGCCTTGGCATGAAAGGGCCTCGGTGAGGCGGAGAGTCATTGCGACGTGGGCTTCAGGCGAGTCAGAGAATCGGCTGAGACCCTATCGTTGTCCTTTGGCTTTGATATTTGTGAGGTTTTAAGCAATCTTTTCGGTTCTTGCTTAGGGTACCCCTTTTTATGGTATCCGACAGTAGCCCCTGAGCCTCGGGGGGAGTGCGAGCACTTTCCCTAAGGGTTTTTCGAGACTTGGCTTGCAGCTGCTCCCGTTGGGATTGTGTTTTTTTGAGGTTCCGGTGGGTGCGCGCGAGCGCACCCGCCGGGTGTAGCCCCCAAGGCCCTAGAGGAGTGGATTTACCCCTCTAGGGGCTTTGTCCCTGTTGAGCGAGGAATTTTATCACGTTTGCCGGGCCCATGAGGGCGAGTTCGAGTCACTGGGACTTGGCCTAGTTGCAGGAAGAGCCCCCGAGCCTCTGTACGGAGCGGGAGGGTGATAAGTGGTTTCCCTGTCTTTTTTGGCGGCCCTCGCGCATCCTTTTCGTTCGGAAGGAGTGGTGGAACATGTCAGGCTACCCTTGGTGGGCGCATGCAGTGACATCTCCGGTGAGCTGTTATCGGGTAGTCCAAGTGGAGGCCCGTGCCCCTATTCGATAGGGGTTGGCTTGCGGTCCAGAGACGCACTCCAAAAGTTCCAGAGGGCTTCTCTAGTGGGTCCCAGGGCCGTTTGATTGGCCCTGGGGGCTCGGTTCCTCCCTACGGCGGGATCTCATTCGGAGACTTCCATGCTGGTCTTGGACATGACTTAGGGCTTCCCAAGCATTTGCTTGCTTGGGCTTTTGGCCATGTTCGGGCTTGCCCACAATCATCCCTGATTCTGTTGTCCTAGGGAGGCTGTCGAAACCTTTGGGGGGGCCCAGCCTTCGAACCCCTGGACCGTAATGGGCTCGATGCCCTTTTTGTTGCGTTTTTCCAAATCTCCAAGTGCGAGCTTGGGTGGCTTGCTTTCGTTTTGGGTGCAGGAAGAGCACCCGAGCCTCCACATGGAGCGAGAGGGCGATCAGGAGTTCCCCTGGCTTTTTAGGCGACCCTTGCGCATCCTTTTCGTTCGGAAGGAGGGGTTGTTTGCCGAGCCCATCGAGTGCGAGCCTGGGTCGCTGGGTCTCAGTAAGTTTACAGGGAGAGCCCCTGAGCCTCCACACGGAGCGAGAGGGTGATCAGGAGTTCCCCTGGCTTTTTATGCGACCCTCACGCATCCTTTTCGTTTGGAAGGAGGGGTTGTTTGCC